GAACGCTCCTCGTTTCGCGAACTGCAGACTGCATCTGCCTTGCATCGCATTTCGTGTCACAGCAGTCAAACGGAGTCGCGCTCAAGACCAGGAGATATATGAAGTCAAGGCTGACGGGCTTCATGACCTTCTTATCACCACTCAGGACAAGCTAATACAGTTCTCGTCACCACGACCCACTATGCAGACATTCTTGCTTGTTCGTCCGTGGAATCGTTATCTCCTCGAACTTCCTGACTTCGCGGAGCCGTCTGGCTTGGCAGAGCTGTCTGACGTTGCTGACGACACAGAAAGCGAGGAAGGTTATTGGTCTGCGCCCGAGTCTCCATTACACAATTTGCCTGGCGAGTTCCCTCCAGCACAGGAGTTGGTTGATTCGGAATTGAGCGATCGAGCCTTGCGATTGGCTGCTCGTCTTGCGCAGCCTTTTGGCGCATTTTTGCTAGCGCAGCAGCGCGGCGGAGAATACAAGAGAATCGCATCAGATCATGATATTATTGCACAAGTCAAAGACCTTTCTTCTATTCCTGACATGGTCAGGACGCTAGAGATATTGTAGCGGTATGCATTTTTTGGAAGCAGAGATCTCTCATCTGCACCGTGACAGTTGCCACTTTGTCTTCGGAGTATGGTTGGATTACTATTATTCTTGCACACGTGTAGTTCTATATTGGTCAATAGGTGACCACGATTGGGATTCGGGTGATCCATACTTAGATACTTAATCCTTCCATCTGACTCGTTACAGCCGTTCGCAGAACGCTACATATATAATGTATGGACGAGAACCTGTATTCATGTTTGAAGGATATAAATGCTGGAAGGTATAATGTGGTCGTTATGTATACTGCCTTGTCCTAAGGTTCGAACAAAGGACACTGGTTGGTGGTACACAACCATGTGCGTAGTACTACAACTTAAGGCGACGTCTGCTTTGCTGTAAGTAGTACGAGTAGCTACCCGTCCCATACATTTGAATACCCAAGGGGTATGTATATGCGTGTATAAGTAATTTGAAATGTCAATGTACAAGGAAAGGACATCTGAAATTCTTGTTCTTCAAAGCTACACCACCTCTACTATCCTGACGCAGTCCATCATGTTGCGAACAGAAGTCGTGTCTTTGACTTGTGCAGTGATATCATGATCTGACATTACTCTCGTGTATGTTTCGCCGTATGTCTGCGCCAGCAAAAATGCCCTGAATGGCTGTTTGAGGCGAGCAACCAGTCGTAACGCTCGCTCGCTTAATTCCGAATCAAGCCACTCCTGCTCTCCAGGGAACCCGCCATGTGAATCTGACGGGGACGGGGGACGGGATGAATAGCCCATGCTCTCCATATTATCCGAAAAGTCAGGCAGCTCGAAGAGACGACTGTCCCAGGGATGGACGAGCAGGAATTTCCGTGTAGTGTGTTTTGCTCGCGAGAACTGGATAGACTTTTTTTCCGTGGTGAAGAAGTCACAAAGCCCCTTTACCTCCACATCATACGTGAAATACATCTCTTGATCTTGATCGCCCATCCGCTTGCCTTTGGTGACACGGAACGCGATGCAAGGCAGATGTAATCGCCGGTTCGAGAAATCGGGGGGGGTCTGTATCATTAAGCTTGTTGTACAATTCTAGAGCCATCCCATCATCCCCAGCGACTCGCAGCGACGAAATCGATGCCTGAATCTCATCTTCGGACAAGCGTGGCAACGTGGATGACGATCCGTACGACGTGATATCGGCTGGCAGACAGCTATTGAATTCGGATGATTTGCCAACCCAGTCCAGGACACTGATGTCACGCGACTGAGCAACAATCTCCTCCAAGAGCCGCCCAAGCGCCCTCTGTTTGTTCTCGCCATATATTACGGGTAGGTGGACGCCGAAGATGCCAAATAATGAATATGCAATGTCTTCTGGCTTCTCGGTGAAGCGCTGCGATGCCCATTTGAGTTTCTCGCGGGGATCTCTCATCCCAGGACAGAAGGTGACGTGAAACCGTGAATCTATGCCTGTAACATCCTTCAACTCTTGCATGATAAACTCCTTGTGGTTGCCAGATTGATGATCAAGATATGGTGCCCAGTTATTTCGGTAGAAGAGAATGATATTAGGAGCCAGGAATTCTTGGAGTGTCCATCCTCGGGTGATCCAAACGCTGCTAGCGAGTGCGCCGGAAGGCGAAAACATCAGACAGGTAGACAATTGTGAGGGCTGAGTGCTGGTACCAGCGAAACATGGAGGTGATGGATTCTGGGACCTCCACCGTGTCTGTCTTGTTGATGCAGCATGTATCGCTCCACGCCCAGCGGTGGCCAGTATCACGAGCGGTTTCGCAGAACCGCTGCAACTTCCCGACGCTGTCGACTGAATTCAACTCGTACACGCTCTTGCCCTGGATGTCGTCCAGCAGCGGCTCCTTCCCTTCCCACTTATGTGATAGCATGACATAACCAAAGTACTTCACCACCACCTCTCGTATGCGCTCCATTTGAAGGTCTGCGCGCTCCGTTATTGATGACAAAAGTTTCTTGTACTCCGTGCTCGTCTTGAAGGCCTCTATTTGTGCCTTTCGATCGCATAAGCGACCGGTGGAAGTGTCAATTAGACGAGTCGGGGTGTTTTCCATGCGAACCCGAATGGCTGTTTGGATAACCGTTTCTATGTCGGATCGAGAGACATACCGCTGGCGCAGCTCTGAAGAAAGGGTCAAGTATCTCAAGGATGTGTTATTCAGGGCTTACCTTGTTGTTGTGTGTCGGGAGAATCGTCCAACTTGGAGAGCATCACTTGGAATGCTTCGATAGCTTCATCGTAGTGTTGTGCGGCATGAAGTACTGCGTGCTTCACTTCGTATCCGATATAATTGGAAGGGCTAAGTTTGATTACCTATCACCAAAATGGGTGTTGACTACTAGATGATGGATGCCATCGTACCTCTTGTGCATCGAGAAGTGCATCCTCCCATAGCCTTTGTCTCGATTTTGCCTTACTGCGGTTTGTGAGGATGGTGTCGCTGGCCGAATCCAAGTTGATTGCAGCCGAGTATAGCTCGATAGCCTCGTCGTAATCGCTTGCATCGAATGCGGCATCTCCACTTGCAGCAATGTCAGAAGATCCTTTGGCAGCATAATGCTCCCTGCAGGCTTGCTCGAATGCTGAGTGAAAATGCAGGTGAGAACTGGACCCGATAACATTGATGAAGACTTGCTAGTGGACCAAGCAAGGCAGTTAGCCTTCGTAGCTTCATCACTCATGTCCATCATACGTCGGTAGGATTCGAGGGCTTCTCTAATTCCACCTGCCTGCAGGAGGGAATCGCACCGTCTCTGGTTTGCATTTTGCCACACTAACTTGAGGTCGCATCCGAAGAGCTGGATAGATCACAGAGTTGGGCAATGATAGCATTTTCACTTGCATCCTATCCACGCACCACAGTAAAGTCCTCATATTCAGAACAAATGGTGGAACAAATGGCGGATTCAGATGAGCCAGCGATGGTGTCGACAGCGGCAGTGAAATCCCCCGCGCCTCCGTTACGACGCGCGCCACCCAAGTTATCTAGATAAACCTTGTGTAAAGTTCTAATAAGTATCAACCGAGAACTGGACTGGATTGAGACGGTGATACTTACTTCCACGATACTGCAAGCAAGACTATCGGCATTAGGAGAAGCGTCCGGAGGCTGTCGAATGCATGGTATTGCCTCGCAATACCGCCCTGCGTTGAACAGTGCAATGGCCTGAAAACTGTGATGAATCAGGAATATGGGAGAAAGATTTGGCCTGCCTTTATTAAGAGAAGAATGGTCTTCAAATGTCCGTCCGTGAACATGGTCGCGAGGTTAAATTCTTTCATTGCATCGTGTACCTGCCCATTTCCGCAAAGTGCGATGTCGCTGGAAAGATACCCTGTCAAGGAGGGCATCGCAACGGACTAGATTACCATAGTTAGTCTATGTTTAGTAGGTGTCCAATAGTGTATCTCACTTTGAGTGCATCATGAAGCGCACCGTTCCGGTCATCTTTTCGCGCCCTAACAAATGAGCGATTGGCATACGCGTTGTAGTCGTTATTGTCAGCGTCAATCCGTTGTGTTAGCAGCGCTTCAGCAGTATCCAAGTCCCCAGTTATGCATGCAGTGCGGATTGTCGAGTCCATGTCGAGTATCTGCAGGAAATATGGTTTTTACATAGCCAAGAGTGAAGGATAAAACATGCCTTGGAATCAAGCAAGGGTACCGCCCAGAGTGAGATCTTTTTATCAAGACCTCCGCTGAGAATGTGCTTGCCATCGGTGGAGAAGGTGACACAGCACACCGTGTGGGAGTGCTTAAATGAGGCGATGATCTGTCGATCCGACAGCCGCCAGAGGAGGACATGGTGATCATGAGACGTGGAGGCGACAAGGGTGCCAGTGGAGTTCATAGTAAGGGTATTGATGCCCTTAGTATTGCCTCTGCAAGGATGCCCGACCTGTTCCCACGTTGATGTATTCCACTCCCGTATGGTGGGATCTAGATAAGAGCCTGCTGTGAGCAGCCGTCTGCCATCAGGTGCCCATGAAAGTGAATAATTCCATGCTAGATTGAATGCAGCGTGAGCCTTCAAGGTTTTAATCTGTTCCCTGCTGCCTGGATTCCATATTTGGATATCTCCAGATGTCGCGATGGCAAGATGTTCTCCAGACGGCGAATACCGAATGCAGTGAACATAATCGCCACAATCGATTGAATTTCCTTGTTGCTTCCACGATTTTGTGCTCCACAATTTCGTAGCTTTGTCCACTGAACCGGTTGCCAGTACTGCTCCATCTTGAGTAAAGTCCACCGAGTAGATTGCTGCGGAATGGGCTTTAATGATTTGGGGGAGCGATTCACCAGTGTCGACGTTCCAGATGATGAGCTCTCCGTTATGATCACCGCTTGCTATGAATCTCTCGTCTCGTGATACCCCAACTGCCCACACCCAGCTGCGATGACCTTCCATTTTCTTCACACCATCGTCTTTCAAGTCCCACAGACAAAGTGTATTATCTCCCAAGGCCGTCACTACACGTCGTCCATCGGGAAAGACTGCAACTGCATGTATGACGTGTTCGTAAGCTGCAGGCACTCGAACTGGCGTGGTCGTTTGGATGATGGGCTGAGTCACATTTACCATTCAGTTCGAAGTTGACGGTGAGAACGGTTAACCGTCGGTGGACTTGTTGAAGGGACTTTTTGATGCCTTGTGGAGCTTTATGCCGTACAGCTCCCGTTTTTACTACTATTTCACAGCGCTAATTTGTCCTGTGTCTTATCAGACGCCCAAGTCATTAAGAGGCTACGCCTTTGGCACAAACTTGCAACTTTTCAGATTAGGCCAACACACTGCGCTAAACTCCATCATCCTGCTTATAGTATTGGGGTGCATCTGGAGTGCGTTATTCCTCCCTGCTCATCTTGCTCAGGAAACTGACACGCATTCACGATCCTTTGCATATTAGGTTGGCGAAAATGGTGCAACTGCTTGCAAGTGTGATGAGTGTCCTGTTACCCTTCCGAAATACTTCGGTTCCCCAAAGCTCCCAAAAACAAGGTACGTAGGGTACAGCATAATGTAAGGACGTAATGACAAGACCTCGTCAGCTGCAAATTTGGCTCTGACTTACCCGAGTAGTAGGAACAGTGGCGGCAAAAACCTCTTGACCACAAACAGGACAACTATCTGGCGCTCGCCGATGGCGATTCGTCTACACGAAAGGCGCCACCTAAACGTCAATCAACTCAACCTACAACTCGGGTTGTTCATTACCCATCTCTTTGCTTGCCCAAAATACTTACCATTTGTGCTTATCTAGCTTCCAAGTCAATTTTCATCAGTGCATGCGGCGGCGTGCGCCCTCCACTGTACCAAACTCCACTCGTCCGTCACCTTCGCTGCCGTCGTCCTTCTTCTTCGGTAATTGAAGGAGCGCTTTCCCCCTCGTATAGCCACTGTCGTCGTTCTTCGCCAAAGCCTGCCTTCCCTCCGCTAAATTCATCCAACATTATCCCGCCAACAACGCCGGACACGCCATTACCGAGTTGTTCAGCATCGATGTCTCCGGCCTCAACCGCATCTCCCCCAGGTATGGAGGATTGTGCTGCTCGTATCTGATCGGCATCATCATCGCCAGGTATTCCAAACCGCGAGCCTGCGCCGATACCACCCCTATCAGCCATCATCATCCTCCCACTCGCGAACAGCAACGATGACTTAGACATGTTGTCCGTTTCGGGATCCTTCATTGAAGTTGGACGATGTTCAAAAAAAAATTGAAGACATGTCTCCTTATCTTGTGTGTTGTCTTCCTGAGTGAGAAAGATATCAAATTTACTTATATTCCCTAAATCATGCTCCGTCATGCTGCTCTGGTGCGGGAGTCGGAGTCAGCGTGAGGTTTCGAAGCCTGGAGGCGGCAGCGCCAGGCTTCGTGAGGTTGTAGTTGGCCTAGCACGGGACGCGGGATCCAGGGTGCAGGTTGGAGGTTAGGTGTGGTAGACGGTGAGAGACTCAGGTCGGACATGGTGGGCAATAGTAGACGCGCGATGGCAAGGTGCTTAACCTCATACTACACGAGCAGAAAATACGTTACTGAGAGATGCTGGAGGTCTTGACCTCTAGTGCTATGAGGTAACATGCGTATCTTGTTTTCGGGGGAGTCGAAGTGCTTCGGAAGAGTAACAGCTTGAGGTACCTACGACTTTCTTGCAATTTCTCCTTCATACTCCGAGTCATACTGTCGATTTTCGGTGTGTAACACTGATGCAGCCGAAGAACCTCGTTTCCCACGTCAACGCGCAACTTGCTGCTCGTTCATTGCCAATTGTATCGCAGACAGATTGTTCAAACTTCAGTAACACGATTCCGATCTAAATCATTCCCGTTGCACTCATGAACGGGAGGACTGGCCTTTTTTAAAAAAAGGAAATCCATTTAGGGTAGTCTACCATATGCGCAATACGCATATGACAATACTAACTATCTAGTCTAAACTCTAAAGGGCACCCATGCCCTACGTCGCATCACTAATTAATCGCAAATGTCCCAGTGTAGGGCGTACCCCCAATGGTCCGCCGTTGCCGCCGGCCATTTTAGATGGGCATTTTTGTTGATGATGGACGGACATGAATCTGCTATCAGCTGCCAGAAGTTGGACTGTGCACGAATGAACTGCAAGGACTGACCTTGAAGATACAGAACCTAGGGTGTGATTGATTGCAATGTAGGATTTCATTTGGCCTATGTGCACACAGACTTCTGCCATAGTAATGCCGCACGCCGTAGAAAGGTAACCGTGCAAATAAAAATCCCCGTTGTTTTAAAAAACTTTGGGTTCCGAATATGCGTAGTTACGTGCTCTGAATATATTCTGCAGATAATTACAGTGTGTTGCATATCAAACTGCAGTGCGAATTTTTGAAAAATTCGGCCTCGCTGCCTTTACCGGGACTTTTTTGTCTAAATGTGGTCAAGCGTGCGGAAAGTATGACACTACTTTGCCTAATTTGGATGCAAAAGCCCCGGTAAAGGCAGGGAGGCCGAATTTTTCAAAAATTCGCACTGCAGTTTGATATGCAACACACTGTATCGTAAACTCCTCACATGCCCGTACAGTTACAATATCTCCAATGTCCTAACGTCCATCATATGGTGAACGGAACCAATGTCTTTGACTTGTGCAATGATATTGTGATCTGACGCGATTCTCTTGTATTCTCCGCCGCGCTGTTGCGCTAGCAAAAACGCGCTAAAAGGTTGTCCAAGGCGAACGATCAATCGCAACGCTAGATCGATCGATTCCGAATCAACCGACTCCTGTTCTCCAAATGACTCGCCAAATGAATCCTGTGATGGGGACCCGGGTGTGAACCAATCATCCTCGCTCTGCATATCGTCTCCAAAGTCAGGCAGCTCGAGGAGATGACGATCCCAGGGACGGACGAGTAAGAATGACTGTCGAGTGGGCCGTGTGTGCGAGAACTGAAGCAACCTGTCATGCGTCGAAATTAGCAAGTCGTGAAGTCCGTCGGCCTTGACTTGATACATGAAATATGTCTCCTGGTCTTGACTAGACCTCCGTCTAATCTCTGTGGCACGGAATGCGATGCAGGGCAGGTGCAGACGGCGGCGTGCGAAATGGGGGGCGTACAGATTGTCAAATATGCTGTACAATTCCGCAGCCAACTCCAAATCCCCGGAGTCTCGCAGCGCGGAGACTGATATCTGCATCTCGTCCTCGGATATAGATGGCAGCGTACATGGTGGAGCTGCGTATGAAGTGATGTCTGCAGGCAAACAGCTATTGAACTCGGAAGATCTTCCGACCCAGTCGAGGGCGGGTAATGTCCCCTGACTGAGCTATGATCTCTTGCAAGAGCCGCCCGAGCGCATGTTGCTTCGTCTCGCCATATATTACAGGTAGGATGACGCCGAAGATACCAAACAACGAGTATGCGACGTCTTCTTGCACGGTGGTGACGCGCGTCGATGCCCATTGTAATTTCTCTCGGACGGCTCTCATACCGGGGCAGAAGGCGACGAGGGCCTGTGCATCTATCCCCGTCGCCTCCTCCAACTCCTGCATGATCGCGACAGACTGCTTGTGGTTGGGAGAGCGGTCGTCGAGATATAGGGTCCAGTCATTTTGGTAGAAACGGATGACTTTCGGAGCGAGGAATTCCGGTACGGTCCATCCTCGCGTGTTCCATGCGCTCCTTGCCAGCGCGCCCGGCTTAGCCGAAGGCGGAACGTCCGAGAGATAGACAATTGTAAACGCTGAATGGCGATACCAGACAAACATGGAGTTGACTGATTCTTGGATCTCGGTATTGCTACGTTTGTCGATGCAGCATGTATCAATCCACCCCCATCTGTACCCCGCATTACGAGCAGTTGTGCAAAATGACTGTAACTTCACGATGCCGCCAACGGGATCTAAGCCGTATACCGACTTGCCCTGGATGTCATACAGTAACAGCTCCCTCCCTTCCCACCTATGCGATAGCATGACATAACGGAAGTACGTCGCCACCACGTCTTGGATGCGCTTCACCCGAAGATCTCCATGCGTCATTGTGGATGACAGAAGCTTCTTGTACTCCACGCTCGTCTTGAAGATATTGATCTGTGCCACTCGATCGCATAAAAGACCGGTGGTTAGGTCAAGTAGACGAAGTGGGGCACATTCAAGTTCGGGATAAATGGCCTTTCTAATCATATCCTCTATTTCGAGTGGACTGGCATATTGTTGGCGCAGCTCTGGGAAAAGGTTCAACCATCTGGAGGAAAACATGTGTTTTTCGAGGCCTACCTTGTAACTCAGTGTCGGGAGAATTGTCCAACTTGGATAGCATGACTTGGAAAGCCTCGATGGCTCCATCGTATCGTTGTGCGCCATACATCGCCGCATGCTTCAACTTGTATCCGAGATAAGAGGAAGGGTCGAGTTCGATGACCTAGGTATTACCAAAATGAGCATAGGTTATGGAAAAATAGATGACTTCGTACCTTTACCGCATCGAGGAGTGCATCCTCCCATAGCCTTTTTGCCAACATGGCCTTACTGCGCTTTGCAAAGGTAGCCGAGGTTGCAAAATCCAAGTCGATTGCCGCCGAATATAGAAGAATAGCTTTGTCATAATTGCTCGCATCGAATGCAGTATCTCCACTCGCGGCAAGGGCAGCATCTCCGCCGACAGCATAGAGCGCACTGCATTCTTGCTTGAAAGCTATGTCAAATGCGAGTGAGAACTGCAGTCTGGTGATGTGACTGAAGACTTACCAGTGGACCAATCAAGGCAGCTAGCCTTCGTAGCTTCGTCGCTCATATCCATCATATATCGATACGATTCGTGGGCTTCTCGAAGCATACCTGCGTGGAGGAGTGCATCGCACCGTTTTCTGGTTTGCAATTTGCCACAGTTGCTTGAGGTCCCATCCGAAGAGCTGCACAGATCACGGAGTTGGACATAAAAAGTGTTTTCGCTTGCATTATATCAACATACCATGACAAAGTCCTCATATTTAGACTGAATGGCTGACTGAGAGGTGAAAGCGATGGAGTTGACAACGACAGTGAGGTGGTCAGCAGCTTCCTTGTAACAGGCGTCATCAAAGGCGTTTATTCCCAGTTGGACACGTAGGTACGCCTGATGTTCAAGGTTCAGAAAGTTCAGTGTCAAATGACCGTGAGTTGGAGAGTGCACGACACTCACTTCCACGATATGACAGACAGGAGTATCTGCCTCAGGACAAACATCAGCCAACTTTTGGATGCGGCGGATTGCGTGATCGTGTTGATTTGCATTGAAGTAGGCGATGGCCTGAACTTAATGAAGCTAGGTGAGACACAAGGAAATATTGACGTGCCTTAATCAAGAGGAGAAGATGAGTAGTCTTTGAATACTCGTTCGTGAACATGAACGCGAGGTCAAATGCTTCCATCGCGTCCTGGACCCGCATTATTCCGCAGAGGGCAATCCCCTTGGAGATCCAGCCTGTCAAGGAATGCTGAATACTGAGGGACTATATCACCATCAAAGTGAGTTGGCCTTTGTGGGTCACGATGGGTCAGTGTATCTCACCTGGTGTGCATCTTGAAGCGCGCTGTCCCAGTCAGCTTTTCGCGTCCTAACGAATGAGCGATTGGCATAGGCGTTGTGATCGTTTCGGTCAGCGTCAATCTGTCGTGTTAGCAGCGCTTCAGCGGTGTCCAAGTCCCCAGTTATGCATGCATTGCGGGTTGCCGTGTTCATAGCGAGGATCTGCGTGAAGCACGTTCACATTCCGCTATAAGAGCTGATGGCCAAAACGTGCCTTGGAATCGTCCAAAGAGTCCTCCAGCACTGGCCAATCCAAGAACTTCCTATCTTCACCTGCAGTAGGGATGTGTTTGCCATACGTGGAGAAAGTGTCAGAGTACACACCATCAGAGCGCTTAAAAATGGCGATGGTTCGTCGATCCGACAACCGCCGGAGTCGGGGGTGGTCCGTGGATGTGGAGGCTACGAAACTACCAGTGGGTTCCTCGATAATAGCGTTGGCCACAGGATAGCCCTTCCAGGGATCACCGACCTGCTTCCACGTTGCTGTATCCCACTCCTGTATGATTGGATCTGGATTGGAGCCTGAAAGCAATCGTTTACCATCAGGCGTCCACGCAACTGAATAATTCCAAGCAGGATCGAGCACAGCGTGACCCTGGAAGCGTGCGATGCATTCCTTCTTGACTGTAGTCCATATTTGAACATCCTTGGACGTTGCGATGGCGAGATATTCGCCAGACGGTGAATGCCGAACACAATGGACATAACCACTACAATTGATTGTATTCCCTTGCATCTGCCATGAGCTTGTGCTCCAGAGCTTTGTCGTGGTGTCCCACGAACCACTTGCCAGCACTGCGCCAGCTGGAGAAAAGTCCAACGACACAATTCGTGTGGAGTGGATTTTGATGGGTTGAGTGAGAGATTCACCGGTGTTGCCGTCCCACGCAATGAGCTCTCCGGTAGCATCACCGCTTGCTATCAACTGCCCATCTCGTGATACCGCCACTGCCCCCACCCAGGTGCGATGACCCTTCATTTTCTTCAACATAACACCAGTCTTCAAGTCCCACAGGCAAAGCGTATGATCTCCAAAGCCAGTCACCATATGTCGTCTATCGGGGAAGACTGCGACTGCAGATACAGAACATTCACGAGCATTAGGGACTGCGGTTGCGGATACGGCGCATTCACGGGTTTCGGAAACTTCCACAGGCGTGGTGATCAGAACGAAGGGCTGCGCTGCTTCTGCCATTCAGTCAGATGTTGATGGTGTTGAGCGCGGTCGAGGTGTTGTGAGTGTCTTGCTCCACGTCCGTGAACGCGTGAACAACCATTTTCGTGCGTAGTAATTCCCAGCTCATGTCTTATCAGGCGCCCAAGGCAGGCTCATGTACGTCATAATCTAAATACAATGTAATGATGGACTCAACGATTTCTTCCGCTACATTTGCATAACACACACGACTAGTGTCCTGTAAATTTGGTGTATGCTAATTTACGGGTGCTAATCAGCAGTGCTAATTAGCGCTAATTTACTGTGTTAATCTGGGAGGCCCAAAATGCCCTGTTAATTAGGGTTAATCTGCTTGATATGTTGTATCGGCCGATCTGCTTGAAGCGTTCACCTGCCGGAATAAGAATGTTGCAATATTGTTCGATTTTTGAGGCAAGCCAACATCAAACACCAGCCGAGGGCCATCAATGGTTGACTGGGAGATACACAACAAACTTAGCTTACTTGCACTTTACCTCGAAAATTTCCCAGACACGATACCCTTGGTGCATGCTTCGGCTACACAGTATGGCTTTGACTTTTATGCTGCCGATGATGAAGATATCTTGGACATGGGCGAGATTGGCGCTCTGAATCGGGCATTCGAAATTCGACTGGGTCAACGCAATAATGGGCCAATTATCTTCAAGGAGCGAGGTGTTGGTCTCGAAGGTGTTGTTGACGTGCTGAAGTCATACTTCGAGAAGCACGAGCATTCGAACGAGGTCGCATTACTTCACAAATGGCTGGATGATCTCATCGTTACAAACCTGAGGTATGTGTTTCTGGCTAGCACCTCAACCTCAAATCAGTGAATCACACTCGTACTATGCAGAATGCAAATCCCGCCAAAAAATTGCTTGTTCGATGGCGAGACATGGACGAAACTATTTTCCACAAGCGTACAGCTTCAGACATGGATATGTCTGAAGACCTTCCACTCCCTGGACGCCGTCCACCTCAACCAAGACCCTTCAACTCCAATCCACCCAACGACGCTGGTGATCCCAAATTTCCCGATGATGGTGCTGAATGGCTGAACGACGAGCGAGGACTGGCGAGCGAGTTTGAAAAAGTTGACAGCTCATATTTCTTGCTTGCAGGGGCAAATGTACATATCGAGTTGCGCTCTCCCTATCTCCGCGACTTCCTGGACGAAACACCCCGAAACATGAATCCCCATGCCAAGGTGTTAACAACATCGTCCATTGTCGCGTCATCGTCGTCGTCGTTAGAGGCAATTCCTGATGCAAAAGCCTGGGATGTATGGCCGTAGAACCACATTTACCCTAATTAACCGTTAAACTCGTCAAATCTACAAGTAAATTAGCGCTAATTAGCAGACTTGCAAATTTACGCTAATTTACATAGGTTAATTTGACCTCCCAGACAGCCTTTGCTAATTAGCCCTGTTAATCTGGCCTCAGACCAGATTTACAGGACACTAATAATGATCGATCGCTGGCGTCGTTGTCTCAGAAGCAATAACCCTTGACCCAGAAAATCTCGTGACCGTCAGCCTAATAAGGTAATACCTGTTTTCTGGACTTTTGGTTATGGCGGGGCCTTGTGAGTCGGACGTCTAATGACAGATGCTCATTATGAAGCAAAACGACCAGAGTCAAGTTGAGCCTCTGATATCCACTGCAGTAAGGTATCATGTCATCCACAATCTTTATCTCCACAACTGCTAAACACCATCACCATCCGACAGCAGAATGGGGGAAGCACCGGAGTCCATCGCCCAAATAACAATGCCCGTTCGAGAGTTTGGAGCTCATACAGATACCGTACGTGCGGTCGCAGCTTTCCCCGATGGACGACATATAGTCACGGGCTCGGTAGACAAGACACTCCGTCTGTGGGACTTGAAAGAAGGTATCGTGTTGAAGAAAATGGAGGGGCATCGCAACGCAGTACGAGCAATCGCGGTATCAAGGGACGGGGAGTTCATAGCAAGTGGGGATTATAATGGAGAGCTCATCGCTTGGGACAGAGACACGGGCAGTTCTCTCACCCAAATCATAAAAGCTCACTTCGGGTCGATCTACTCGCTGGACTTTTCTGCAGATCGTACACTCCTAGCAACCGGTTCATTGGACGGCACCGTGAAACTCTGGAGCACCGCAAACTGGCACCTGCAAGGAAATCCAATTGACTGCCATGCAGCAGTCTACTGCATTCGGTATGCACCATCTGGAGAACACCTTGCTATCGCGACATTCAAGGATGTCCAAATTTTGATTGCGGACACGAAGGAATGCATCGCAAACTTCACCGCTCACGCCGTGTTCAACTTATCACTCGCATGGATGCCCGATGGTTCACGACTTTTCTCAGCGAGCACCATTCTTGATCCCACCATACGAGTCTGGGATCCATCAACCTGGAAGCAGGTCGGCGATGCCTGGACAGGCCATACTTATCAGGTGAATGCCATTGCAGTGAACTCTACTGGCACACTTGTCGCCTCTGCATCCGATGACAAGCGCGTCCGCCTCTGGCGACTCTCAGATGGACGAACCATTGCCATATTCAAGCACTCTGATAATGTGTATTCTGTCACATTCTCCATGGACGGCAAGCACATCATCAGCGGGTGTGCCAATAAGAAGGTTTCACAATGGGCAGTTCCCGAGGCTGCTTTGCTGGAGGACTCTCCCCAGGAACAGGCTGTAGAAGTACGTTCCTATTCATTCACTGTCCCATCGTTATCTCATCTCTCCTCAAGGACGTGTTGTTGTTGGAGGCTCCAGGCTCACAGTTGACAAACAACGTAAGTCCGTGTTTGCATTTCCCGCCACTTCATCTGCTTCCACATTGACCCTCAATGTTGATGCCAGGCTCACGATGCTGATTCCACGGCATGTTTCCATCTTTGACTTTTATTACGCAATGTTGATCATATTTCATGTAGATCTTCGCTTTATACCCAACGATTCGTGATGTATGCATAAGTGGCGACTTGGCGACTGCTGAAGAGCTGCTAACTCAAGAGATTGAAACCGACGGCAATAACTACAACTCATATGCTAATCGGTCATTTGTCATGGCACGAAAACTCAGCTGGGACAGCGCAATTCAGGATGCACTCAAGGTGGGATATACTGCCCCATCGTGATCCCCCTTAGAATAGCCTAACTTCGATGACATAGTCTATCAGCATTCAGCCCTCCATGACAGGCTATATATCCAAAGGCATTGCCCTCTGTGGCACAATGAATTTCGAGGATGCGATGAAAGCATTCGACCTCGCATCCATATCCATCAGAGGTTCGAAGACAGTTGATCTTCTCTTGATCAAGGTACGTCCATGCTTTTTCGCAGAGTTCCTTCCCTTATTGTCATTGTCAGGCTATCGCACTTTTTAATGCAAATCAGCACGAGGACGCAATGCAACGTGTTCAAGAGCTCGCTGCCGCTTGTCCTAATGCTGATACTCTTGTTTGTCGTACCGTGGAGGTCAGTATCATACAATATATCTAGTCCATATATGTTGACGGTTTTTTATGAATTTCACATATCAGGCATATCTGCATGTTCAAATTGGAGTCGACATCTTGGATGACGCGCGTTACGATGAAGCTGTTGACCACTTCACTACCGCTATCGACATGGGCGCGGCCTTACCTGAATCGGTCATTCATTCCAGATATGGAGACTTTACCGTGGTACGTTGATATGATACAACCAAACGTGCTTCTCATACCCAACGCCTAGCTCTTCGGGTGGGACCTCAGGTCCTTGTGGCAAAATGCAAACAAGAAACGATGTCATGCACTTCTTCATGCAGGTAGACCTGGAGAAGCCCTCAAATCGTATCGATACATGATAGATATGAGCGATGACGCTACGAAAGCAAGCTGCCTTGATTGGTGTACTGGTAAGCCTTTTGGAATGTCTACGGGTTACAATGCTCACCTGTGTTTCACGCCGTGGTGCAGCTTTCAAGCAAGAATGCAGTACGCTCTATGCTGCCAACGGAGTTGCAGACCTTGCTGTGAGCGGAGATGCTGCCCTCGCTGCGGGCGAGTACGACAGGGCTATCGAGATCTACTCGGCAGCGATCGACCTGGATTCTGCAACCTACACCATCTTTGCCAATCGCAGTAAGGCGAGGTCGGAGAAAATGCTATGGGAGGATGCGCTTCGTGATGCACAAAAGGTGCGGTAGCATCTGTTGTTTTGTAACCGATGTTCATTTTGGTGACACGCAGGTCATCGAACTGAACCCTTCATCCTATCTTGGATATGAGGTGAAGCATGCAGCGCTTCATGGTGCACAACTCTACGATGAATCTATCAAAGCTTTCCAAATCATGCTCTCCAAGTTGGACGATGCTCCCGAGACAAGTAAGATTTATCTACTACGCGTGTCAACGTACATGAAGTAATATTACTCGACTCTATCAACAGCGCTGCGCCAGCAGTTTATCAGTCCATCCGAAGCAGATGGTGCTATTCGCAAGGTCACATATACCCACCTCGACGACGCCCCGCCGCGTCTGCTCGACACTCACACAGGGCGCTTATGTGATCGAGAGGCGCAGATAAATGCCTTCAAATCGAGCACAGAGTACAAGGAGCTCTTATCATCAACATTGAAGCGGGCAGAGCTACGAATGGATGACATCCAAGACGTGGTGGTGACATACTTCCGTTGTGTCATGTTATCACATAGGTGGGAGGTTAGGGAACTGCAATTGCACGACATCCAGGACAAGGTCGTGTACGAGTTGAATCCCGCTGGCGGCATCATGAAATTACAGCTATTCTGCAGAACGACTCGTGATACAGGGCACCGCTGGGGGTGGGTGGATACATGTTGCATCGACCAAACTAACAATGTCGAACTCCAAAAATCACTCAATTCCATGTTTGTGTGGTATCGCCACTCAGTCCTCACGATCGTATACCTGTCGGATGTCGCTCCTTCGTCAAAGCCTGGCGCGCTGGCAAAAAGCACTTGGAACACACGAGGATGGACTGTTCCTGAATTTCTGGCTCCCAAGGTCGTTCTATTCTACCAAAATGATTGGACTTTATATCTTGATGACCACTCTCCCAACCACAAGGAGTCTCCCAAGATTATGCAGGAGTTGGAAGATGCAACGGGCATAGATACACAGATTCTCATCGACTTCCGTCCTGGGATGAGACACGCACGGGAAAAAACTGCAATGGGCATCAAGGCGTGTCACCACGTTGCAGGAAGACATCGCATACTCTTTGTTTGGACTCTTCGGTGTCCAGCTACCCATCATGTACGGTGAGAAGAAACAAAACGCGCTCGGGCGGCTTTTGCAGGAGATCATAGCCCAGTCAGGGGACATTACTGCCCTCGACTGGGTCGGAAGTTCTTCCGAGTTTAACAGCTGTTTGCCTGCAGACAATCACTTCATACGAAGCTCCGCCACACACGCTACCATCTATATCTGAAGATGAAATGCAGATATCAGTCTCCGCGCTGCGAGACTCCGTGGATACGAAGTTGGCTGTGAAATTGTACAACATACTTGACTATATGAGCGCTCCCCGTTTCGCAAACCGCCGTCTGCACCTGCCCTGCATCGTATTCCCTATCACGGAGGTCAGACGGAGGTCTTATCAAGACCAGGAGACATATTTTACGTATCAAGTCAAGGTCGACAGACTTCACGACTTGCTAATCTCGACGAAAGACAAGTTGGTTCAGTTCTCGCACGCACGGCCCACTCGACAGTCATTCTTACTCGTCCACCCCTGGGATCGTTATCCCCTCGGGCTGCCTGACTTTGAAGACGATACGCAGAGCGAGGATGATTGGACCCAACCCGGGTCTCCATTACAAGATTCCTTTGGCGAATCCTTTGGAGAACAGGAGTCGATTGATTCGGAATCGATCGATCGAGCGTTGCGATTGATCGTTCGCCTTGGACAACCTTTTAGTGCGTTTTTGCTAGCGCAACAGCGCGGCGGAGAATACAAGAGAATCGCGTCAGATCACAATATCATTGCACAAGTCAAAGATATTGGTTCCGTTTACGACATGATGGACGTTAGGACATTGGAGATATTGTAACTGTATGTGTTTACGCATTTTCTCGAATACCAGACCTAGATTTTATATTGACAGCACATGTACACATGAATACCCATATTTACCCCGCATTGTATGCTTACCTACCTAGGGACTCTCGACATAAATTGCATCTGCGCCATACCTATGGCGCCATTGAATTCCGCTCGTTCGGCGCCTTCGCGTCAGCGCCTAGGTCTCACCATGGATTCCTCTAACGAATTCTTGTACACAAGACTCAAGCTTCAGCTTCAAGTCAAGGCTGACAGCAAATACGCGGTCACGTGATTGCAGAGGTTCGGTATACACATAGGTTTGTTCGGTGCATGAATATAGAATTGAGCTCCTTGGCCAGCTGGGAGCTACAGGAAAACATAAATATAATAAAACGACAACAACAATCATAGAACAACAACAGAATACACCTCTAGAGGTACATACAGTCCAAGAAAATGAATAATACCTCAAGTCCTCCAGACCAACTTTCCCCTCGTCTGTTCTTCCAGTCCATCGGCTCGTCTCTTCTTAAATTCATAGAACCGCGCCGTGGCCGCTGCAGAGCCTACATACGTGACGCATGAATTGATAGGCTGTTAGCCATGTTGCACAGCGAGTAAGAGACCAAAAACACGCACCTTTCTTTGGTGCTCCCCTTCCTATACCCATGAACCAAAGAAGAGCTCGCACAGGCAACCATACGATCATCAACATCCATCCAAAAATCACCCGGAGCGGGCCAAACGCGAGGATGTTGAGTAGCAAGACGACCAAGCGCAATGGCCCGCTGCCAGGTGTTCTGTCAGAGACGTAGAGAATGCACCTCGTGCATTCAATAGTCAAGAAGACCGGAAAGAGGAAAGAAGCGTAGACTAAGTACGTGCGTTGTGAATCGCAGTTGAGCGGAGTAAAGATTAAGAATCACGTACGAACATCGTTCATGCTCATGTTGTCACAAATATTTGGTATGTGGATTTTCCCGTGTCCGGTCGTGCAGGAACTTCGAATTACAGACTATAGACAAGGCGATCTCGACCGGAGATGCCCCAAGATTGAGATGGATGTTGGTGGTACAGTTGTGAGTCACACTTGGTGGATTTCAACAAATCAACAGAAGTTCGAAACCGCCCACAGTTGTCACACTTACATACGGCGCTTCCATCAACCAAGATAGTACGTGAAACTCTTCATATGTTCACGATTCGCGACCTTTCAGCTGCAGATATATCTAGACATCCCAAGCACGTCTATGGACCACTGCTCAACGTAAATTATACCAACTTAGGTTGCTTTCGGGCGTCATAATTTTTCACTGTCAGGCCATTTGCAGAAGTACAGGACTGGTAATATATCTTCAAACCTTATTTCTAAGCTATACATGCATTTACAGGCGCTTTCTCTACAGGCGGTCTATGGACGATGTTCAAGTCAATAACTGATAAATGATCAAGCTCAACTTGACACTCACTAGTGTTGCCGAGGTCACTGCAAGCCTCCTTGACCCGCGCCGTGAGCGTTTTCTCACCCTCACGAACCCAGACACGGGGGTCATAAAACTGCAGTCCAACATGAGTGTCGGAAATCTTATGGAAGATACCTTAGTGACGTACCTTCTTGTTGGGTTTGTCTGCGCCTTCAGGGTTACCAACTTGAGTGAGTAGGTAATCTTTTTTCTTGAAAACGAAGTCCTGGGAGATAGTGGTCAGCCATTGCTCGATCTCGATGACTGGTAGTCAATCGTACCCTGATACCAGCGAGGTAAGCAAACTGGGTGTCTGAGTCACCGTTGCGCGTCAGCGACTGAATTTCCTGCTAAACATGACAGACTCACCAGTATCAACGTTCATTTTGACGACGCCATTCCCGACTGCAGTCCTGATCTCTTCCTTGGTTGACCCAGAACCACCGTGGAACACGAGGTAGAGAGGCTTCTCGGACTTGCCGCCGAGCTTTTGGCTGCTGTAAGCTTGGTGCTTTCCAAGCAATTCAGGCTGGAGTTTGACGTTTCCAGGCTTGTAGACGCCGTGCACGTTACCGAACGCAGCGGCAATGCTGAAGTTGGGGCTAATAGCACTCAAAGCAGCGTGGACATCGTATATGTCCTCGGGTTGGGTGTAGAGGGACGCGTTGTCGACACCAGTGTTGTCAACACCGTCCTCTTCACCACCGGTAATACCAATTTCCATCTCTAACCAGATACCGATAGGTGCCATGCGCTTGAAGTACTTCACGCAAGTTGCAATGTTCTCCTCTTTTGACTCCTCAGACAGGTCAAGCATGTGTGAAGAGAAAAGGGGCTCTTGGTGCTCCTTGAAATAGGCCTCATCGGCAGCAAGCATGCCATCGAACCATGGCAGGAGCTTGTGGGCACAGTGGTCGCTGTGAAGAACGACGGGCCTAATGTCCACAGTGGTTTAAAATAACATGAATCCCGGGTAAAGATCAGACTCACACGCCGTAGGCCTTCGCAACTGTGCGAATATGGTGGGCAGCAGCAACAGCTCCCAGAATAGAAGCTTGCTGGTCGCCATTTGCAAGACCTTTGCCGGCGTAGTAGGCACTTCCACCCTGAGAGACTTGCAGGATGATCGGAGCCTTGATGTCTCTGCAGAGCTAGAGGTGAGCATTTCGTGAATGACCCGGACTCTTTGGCTGACCTTGCGGCTTCCAAGACGGCGTTAGCGGTGGATGAGGAAGTGACATTCTGACGCAGTCAAGTCAAAACTCAAGGAGACCATGATTTATTTCGTCACTCACTATAGCCTGGTGAAGATATCATCGCTTCAGCGGGATCTTTACATCCAATAGGAAAGGCACTCACGGGGATGGCAAACTATTGAAGTTGAATTGCAAGGCGCTTCATTAAGGCAATAAGAGATGAGTTGAGAGCAATGTACCTTGTGTTCCTTTGCATAGTCAAACAATTTGCGAACGTTATCTCCAGTTAGGACACCAGCCTGCTAGGACGTCAGTGGATCAGCTTCCCCGATGATTGATTTGTACTAACGGGAACGATATCGAGGACACCCATGATGAATCGACGAGAGAGTGCGGTAATGGTGGATCTGGAACAAGATGGAGAGAGCGTCAGAACAGCCTTTAAATGGGAGCGAAGAGGTACCTTATAAGCTACCGATAGCTGTGAAGACTAGTGAAACGACTTAGAAATCGATGGTCTTGCTCGTCCGATATCGCCCATTTTTGGCACGTGGCTAAGATCGCATCATATCTGCAGTGCCCATTTACTAAATCTGGTCATGGATTTCATAATCCTTGGAAAAACGTTCGATACAACCAACATACGATACATCCAAGTTTTGGAAGTACGTTCACTTCGGGATCAACAAGTACGTGATTCCCAGAGACCGTGGTCGACGGCTCGGGTTCTGCTGTCTCCCAGGCAGCACCACTGCCTCCCTCGTTCCCTAGGCAGAATCCCAAAGTCCTGCCGACTTCACACCAAACCATCCCAGGCTAGTCCCACACCTGCTCTTAGCCGATCTTGAGCCACTCAGGCTTCAGCACAGGAGACGTCGAGCTCGAGAGGTCTGTCCCTTGACAGAAGTAAGCTACGTAGAAGCTAGGTGTCGAACTCAAATCATAATCAGTCGTATCGTACCAGGCTACGGCCCCGGCGGTATCTATTTCAGAATGTGAACACAGTTACTCTTGATCCGGAGAGTCACTACTCTATCCTCGCCTTCTCATCAGTTGCTTTGATCTGATTGGACCACTGGCAGTTGTCCAGCAGTATGGCACCCACGACACGGTCCACCGCCCAACACGCACTGGTTCCTCCTGTCAAACGTTCCCAGCTGTCACAGGTGAGAACGACTGACAGGAGGAACCGTCTGAATCGCGTAGATTTCGTATGGGTGATCTTCAGCCAGCAATTGACATACAGCACGTGATAAGAAGGAACGACTATCTTTGGACGTCGACCTAGGGGATACTAATACAGCACGCTTCCAGCAGAACGGTTTGCGGTTAGTGGGTGGGCACCAACATGCATTCGGTATAGGTCCGTGTTACGGTGGCTCGCCCATCACAACATCGAGCGTAGTCTGCGAGCAAGCTCGCATAAATTACAGAGCATTTACATGTGATGGCTTGTGATAATATTATTAATGATGCTACTATGTGTATCTATTATGAGAGTCCTGCTAGTGCCATTCCTTCCAACTGTATAATAGTGAACACTATGTGTTAGGAAACAGCAGTGTGGAGATATTCTGTGCTTCCTGATACGAATTTTGCGCTCCAATCTGGGCTGGGGTTAACGAGTTGAATGTTGGGCAAAGTTCGTCCCATGCATCTGTGTACATCATCAGCTGAAGCAAAGCCTAACATGGACATCGAATAGTTACTGGGTATGTAGCCTAGATGCGCCTGAGTGTCCAAAGGACTTTCGGCCATGACTATAGCAAAACCACTGGTAACACATGTCAGATTACGGCAGTGTCGGAGCGCTCGAGACACGTACGCGTCGAGATGCCAATCAATGTGACTAGGTAAATGATGTCATCAGTGCTAGTGCGAGATATATCAATGTCGTGGTGCTCACCAGTGCAGGAACCATGGGCCAGAGTTATCTGTAACCCATCTAATCACCATCTGTTGGCTCAGGATCCCACTGGATACTACATCCCTGCGTACGGGATTGACGTAGTTAAAAGAACTGTTTCCGGCGCTCTGCACGACATCAAAGCTATGCTATCACTACAGTGAGCAATCGAGCGTCAACAGGTGACCAGAAATACTTACACCGTGAATATGAATCGGATGCTAGGGAGATGTCATTAGATGTGTGTAACGTGGTAATGAACGTACGGGAAACTTACAGGACCACCAGCATTAACAGCTGGCATCGTCAATTCGACGACCTTGTTAGCCCCTAGAACATATACACTTCCTGCCGGAAGGAGATCGGTTGCCTGTTGTGCGCCACTGAGGATCTGAAGTAGTACGGGCACCGTGGGAGGCTTGTATGGTACGCCGTTGACCGAATATATCCCACCCGAGTTGTTGACCACCAACTTCAAGTTGATGTCTGCCTTTCCGTACTCTGGAATCCCAGGTGCACCAGGATTGATTAAAGCATGCAAATTGTTCTCAACGAGCGGCATGGTACTTTCGGTCTGGTTTGTAGTAGGTTCTGCAATGGGTGCACCGTTGTATCGCAAGATGGCAGAGTTCTGGTTGTTGATAAAGTTGTTCAAGCCTAGAGTGTTTGGGAGTGCCCGTATCCAGTAGTTGTCGACCGGTTGGTTCGCAACGAGCACAACAGAGTATCGTTGTCCAGCAAGTATCTGGAGCGAGTCCACGAGGAGGGGCTGCGTCAGTTCACCGTCCGCTTCGATTACCGTCATGTTATGGTTGTCAATGGAGAACACGAAGTTGGGATCGCAAGACATTGCTATAAGGCGCAGGCGGTATCTTTTCCCGTACTCGACACTGACCACCGCAAGTTCACTCTGGGGTCCCTGTTGATATCTACCGAGACCGTTAATGAGTGTTGAGTTGGCATTGGTGCCAATTATATGGCTTAAAACGGGGGCGACTATATGGTACCTATGATCAATTGGTGAACTGAATGCAAGTCACACATAGTTCTGAGATGTACCAGTCAGCAAGAGTGATGACGGTGGTCTCTGTGAATGTCTTAAGTGAGCGAATTCATCATTATGATAGTAGTCACTGTACCGTCGTCAACGTCGTATAAATAGGATAGAGGGTCTTCAGGGTCATAGATAATCAGAGCCCCGCGGAGTCCATCACTGAACGGTTTCAGATCATTGATTGCGGAGTTAAACATTTCATATCAACACACCACTGTTGGACCGAGTAGTGGCTATGATACCAGAAGGTTCCGGCCTGATTCCGAGCCTCGAAGGAGTGCAGAAAGGAGTGATTTTGCGCAATGGGACATTGAGTAACGAACGAGACTCCATCTACATAGTTACTCCCATTCTGCCTGATTCCATGCCAGTGCTAAACAGAGTCGGGTAAGCCTGATGTATGAGTACTGAACAGATGTATACCCACCACACTGGTGCTCTTGAGCATTTCATCGTCAGTAAGTCTGTTCACGACATTTATCGCAAAGTGCTCTCCCTTCAACTGTAGTCAGTGTCTGAAGGTTCGATCGAATTGGGAGAAAATGCACCTTTCTGGCTGCAATGATTGGACCCGGAAACGTTCCTCCAGCGAGCGTTGCACTGTACCAATGATTAACATGTAAAGAATGCAGCAAAGGCAAACTCACGAGCGCACAAAACCGTCTGGAGATATGACTTTATTGGAAATGATCAAATTGGTTTTAGGGCCTAGCGTGTTCAAACGAGAGTTGAGTGGATATGAATTGGATCGTGAGATGATGGATGCTGCATGTGCTAGATGAAGCCATAGCATGAAAATGACATTAAGGAAGGGCATTATATTGAGTACAGAGGAAAGGAATATGTGCTACAAAGCACTCGATGAGAAGAACTCACTTCAACGCGGTTTGATCTTATAGAAATCTGGTAACTTCTCTTGATCCCAACTTCCCCAACAAGTGATAGACCTGACCGTAAGAAGGTTGAAGTCAACGTCAAATGCCAAGCCCCGACTAGTTACTTGTAGCTTATGCCAACGCACAAGCCCACAGCCTGCCACGTCAAGCTTGACTACAACACCCATAGGGGAATAACGAAAGCCGGGATAGCAAGTTCGGACCAAGTAACGCCAAGTCCATGTTCAAGTTGGAAGGTTCTGGAAGTACGGAATTCACTCATGGTCGTCATTCAACAGCTTGAGTGATGGCCCTGGATTAGGCAGTTTCGATGTCCGTAGGGATTCTATGATATACATCAATTCAAACCAGCGGTAGAATTATGGGAATCAGGCTCAATTGTTCGACCTGACTGCTCGAAGCTAACCGTGCGCACCGCGTGTCCGACGGACTCTGAAAAGCATTTCCCCTGACAAGTGTCCCCGGATCCGTTCCTGGCCTTGCGCTAGTGTGAAACGCACCGGAATTTGGAAATTCGTCTTGTTTGGTCAAGCCCAGATGATTTGAGGCGTAATTTGATTGATCTTGCTCGTTTAATCAACCAACCAACCAACCAGCAACGCGGGGTAAACACAATGACGCGTTGAGCAGGTTCTATCCGATTTCAAAAATACGAGGCCGCACAATTCCAAAGAGCGCTTCTTTTTTTTTATTGTCATGGCCCACTGACTCGGATGCATGAGGATCAAATTATTATCATTAAGCACTAGTAGTGGCGAGCACCTGTGAGCAACAACTGTCAAATTCGGACACCAGGAACTGTAATGTAGTGGGTGGGGCTGTACCGTGACTGGGCCTGGTAGCAGTATTTCCACTAACTGCTTGCCAAGGCAATTTTAGTTGGTTGTTGCATTCTGCATGTATAGGTGCGCATGGGTTTAGGTTTGAGGTTTGCCGCACCTGTGCATGGTAGTATGGAAGTCAAGACCACCGTGACCGCGCTCCGTTAACTTGAAGCTTTTACTTAAGACCGACTACTTACAACTCCTGGGAACCTGTGATGCTGACTAACCAGCGCGGTCCCAAACCAGATTACTAATAGAGGAAATCGGAATGAGCCGCCGGTGGCAGTGCTGTCGGAGAGTCTGGACTGGCTGCCGCCAGATCGAAACAGTGTCTCAAAAAGCCTTAGGTCGGTGCACCGGTGAGTACTGGCATGCTCGAACGTATCGACGTCGAAGGCACACTAGAGAGCAATATGGAGAGTTTAAACTTATGGCGTTATATCAGCACTTTTATTATTTGCGCGTTGCGCACCCCTGCGCGCTGTCCCCCGCACTGCGCATCTTGTCCAGAGCCTCCGCGTTTGAATTTAACACTGTCGCATGACCAGGAAAACGTGCACATGACGAGCATTCTGAGTCTTGCGTCTGATTTGCTATACTTATGTTCTCAAGCTCGCCACATGTTTGAAGTAAAGTCAAGGTACTAAATATGACTGAAACTATGGCTCAAAAACCAACTTTTCAACCAGAAGGTGACAAGCTTCAGAAATAAAATGTTCAGCATGATGAAAGGCGGCTCCCTGATCCAGGAGCTTGAACATCAGCTCCTTGCAACCCTCACTAACCCGTCCAAACTTCAGTTCCTTGAAGCGCTTGACAGCGTCACTATATGGCTGTGGATTCCTGGCATCGAGGAGGAACCGGCCCATTCCATTCCACCAAATAGCATGCCAATCCTCGTTGCAACCTGTTGGGTCTTGACAGTCGCTTGAATGCATCAAGATTTTCGGCTCCTCTGCAGCTACCATCCGACGATGATGATCGAGTGCCGCTTGAACATAAACAATGTTCAAAAATACCTCATGTCCCATTAGCTCCCGGTGTGCGTGTGTGATTTCAGAGATCGGTGTTTCTGCCAGTTGTTGGAAAGCAAAAGGAAAGATGGTCCGGACATGGTATTTGATGGCGAGGTTGATCAACTGAGCCGGGTGAAAGCGGAAACGTGCAGTGAATATACGGTGCACAACAAATTCTTGTGTATGGCGGCATTGATACATGTCGCAAAAGTGAAGGAATCTTGAGAGCTCGTCAGTAGTATAAGAGCCAGTGCGAACTCTGCAAATAGTTCAACAGGTTAACAGTAAGAAGAATAGATGATGTATAGTTGACATACCTTCCAAAGGTATGTTCAAGAAACAGTTTGAACGTCTCCCGGGACAATCCGTCAAGGCGAATGGGCCGATCGTCACTCATTCCATCTAGTTCGATTTGTCCACTCTGTGTGGCAGTAAACATATCGCGAAAAACATTTGAAGATGTCGACAAAATTGATTTGCAGAGTTTGTACAGCATATTCTCAACCTTGGGCCAGCATAACATTCAAATTTCAAACAAGGAACAATTTGATAAATAGAAGAACCCCACCTGGAAAATATGACTTGAAGCATGGAAATAATATATTGGGTGTCGGGTTGGTGCATTAGACATGGTAAAATTGGCGAGAGTCAGACGTTTAGAGAGTTCAAGCTAATCGTATGTCATGAGGGAATTGGGTAGTCATTGGTATGACTAGGCGGAGTTTAGAACCCTTAGTCAGTCAGCGGAGTGTCGGTTGGACATGAAGTATGGTGCAGTGAGGTATAGTGCAATGAGGTATAGTGCATGGGGGTAGTATGATATATGAAAACAGGTGAACGCAATGACACATCTACTAGAAGTCCTCTTCCAACAAGCTGGATGAAACATTGTTAAACACAAAGTCTACCAGAAAGATAGTATACTCACAAAGTTTTGCTCGATACCTGGTCGGTCTTGGCATTCGTGTGGTTGACGTTCGCCTTTGAGTAGTCTGACACGCGCTTCTCGAAGAAGTTGGTCTTCCCCTATAGTGAGACATGTCCATGAAGTCAAATGGGTTGGTGGCGTTGTACACTTTGTCGTTGCCCAGCGACACCAACAAGTGGTCTGTGACGAACTCAATGTACTGGCACATGAGCTTGGCGTTCATGCCAATGAGGCCAACAGGGAGAGCATACAGAGAGACAGTCAGCGTGAGATGAGCAAAAAGAAGGTAATGACGAACCAGTGAGAAATTCCTGCTCGATGACAACAGCCTGAATAATGATACACTTAACAATATCAGGGTGCGGGCGACGCTTGAGGTGGTTAAAGAGCAAGCAAGCAAAATCGATGTGCATACCTTCATCACGGCTGATGAGCTCGTTGGAGAACATAAGTCCAGGCATCAGACCACGCTTCTTCAGCCAGAAGATGGACGCAAAAGAACCAGAGAAGAAGATGCCTTCGATGGCAGCGAAGGCGACCAAGTGCTCACTGAAGGTGGAACGCTGATCAGATATCCACTTGAGGGCCCAGTCAGCTTTGCGCTTGACGCAAAAATAGTTTCCGTGGCGTCAAAGAGGTATTCGCGCTGGGCGGAATCCTTGATGTAAGTGTCGATGAGAAGTAAGTAGGTCCCGGAGTGAATGTTCTCCATCATAATTTGGAAGCCGTAGAAGCACTGGGCTTCAGCAGCCTGGACCTCATTGGAGAAACGTTCAAGGAGGTTTTCATTGACAATGCCATCGGATGCAGTGAAGAAGGCGAGGACGTGTGAAACAAAATGACGTTCGTTGTCATTAAGACGGTTCGTCCAGTCAGGTGAGCAGCCTCTTCTTCACGTAGTTTCTTCTCTTCATCAGTCTCCTCGAGCTCAAGACCCTCTTTCGAGACACAAACAAGTTTCTTGCCCTCGAACTCTTTCAGCTGCGTGACGGCATACTCATAAATGGGGTCAACGAGAAGGAGGACTTCAAAGCCCTTCTTCTTGAGCGCTTCAAGGAAGAGTGAGTCGCAAACAGCGCCAAGAGATTCACCGGTGAGGTGATAGATCGATTTCTGGACCTCGGGCATACGCGTGATGTAATCTGAAAACATTGTGAGGGAGCTGTCCTGACGGAACACACAAGATACACTTACCCTTGAGCGAAGTCTGTTCCTCAAGCGCCTTGGTGGAGAAGAAGCGGAGGAACTCAGCGAGCTTGCTGCGGTTCTGGGCATCCTCGTGGATACCGAGCTTCAAGTTCTTGCCGAAAGCTTCGTAGAACTTGTTGAAGTTGTCCGGATGTCTTTTGAGAGATCCATCTCCTCAGCAGTCCAGAATGATGCTTCGGCTTTCTCGTACATTTGCCATATATGATGATTTGTTAGAACGAAGTCAACAGGAGGACAGACAGTAACAAACCTCATGGTATTGAATGGGGAAAAGAATGAAACAGCGCTTGGATTCTTTGAGCAAAGGCTCTTCGCCTGAAATGAAAAGCTAAGTTGAAGATTAATTCATACATGAAACTAAGCCACTGACTTTCAGTAGGTCGATTTCACCGACCAAACGGAGCAGCAGGAGGGGGTCAGTGAGGATAGCAGACGCGTGCACGTCAGACACGCCCATCGAAGCTGCCTAAGCAAGGACGATTGTTACGGGTGGATGGAGGAGGGAGTGCAGCTATAATTTACATACCAATATCATTTCGATCTATCGTCCCAGGACGACAAATGACGAAATAATCATGTGACCGTGTTGTCCTAACATTGAACTCATCGACAACGAATGTCATTGCCATCATGCCTATAGTACTACCAGATGTTTTTCCTCAATTCCCATTTCGTGCAGCGACTCAGGTTCCGTTGTCAGCAAACTTCCTCACTGCACACGATATACTTTCAGATATCTACCGGCATGCCTTACAGATTCTTAATCAAGAAGACGCTGATCCAATTCAGCTTATGTTTCATATAGAAACACTATCTGGAGATGCCATACCTCTCCTGGCAGCGCTTGCACAGAATCCCCAAGGAAATGAGATGTGTGATTGGCTTTCTCGTGCGGCAGGCGTGCTAGGGGAGCTCTCAGCGCAGTTATCATTGTTTCAATGCAATATTCAAAACCGGTGATTCGCACTCTTGACTTGCTTTATTTCAGTAGTCATTGATTAAGCAATGCAGTATGGACAAGGACATAGTGTTCCTTGAACCAGTAACCTTACTGCGCACAAATCGTGCAGGTCGCCCGAAAAAAATCATCGATACTGAATTCCTCGCTGAAGCGCTTTCAAATTCACGACTTATTAACCTGACGGAATTGGCCAAGACACTAGGACTCCACAGAAATACTCTGCGACTTTATATGAAAGCCCATGGAATCATACAAAGGTACTCTGAACTCACCAATGCCGACCTCGATATCCTTGTTGGCGAGTTCAAAAAAAAGCGACCGGACTCCGGCATCAGATATATAATTGGTTTTCTTCGCAGATATGGACTCCGAGTACAACATCGACGAGTTGTAGAATCCCTTCGGAGAGTGGATGGCTTGGGTCAAGTGTTACGAGACCGTCGAGTCAAACGCAGGCGAAAATACTATGTAAAGCGGCCAAATGCTCTATGGCATGTGGATGGGCACCATAAACTGATTCGATGGGGAATCGTGATTCATGGATTTATCGACGGGTTTTGCAGAACGGTCCGAGTCTAATGTGTCTCATCTGTATTTGATTCTGACGTCTAGCCTTGCCAGATAACTGGACTCAAAGCAAGTAACAACAACCGCTCTACTACTGTCTTAGATCTTTTCAAACATTCAATACAAGAATACGGCACACCCTCTCGTGTACGAGGAGATCGCGGTGGAGAGAATATTGATGTTGCGACTTATATGATAATGAAACATGGACCACGCCGAGCATCATTCATGTGGGGATCGTAAGTTATTCTACTTATTTACTGTATTATATGCTAATTACAAGTACCAGTTCTACCCGGAATTCACGGATCGAACGTTTGTGGGTTGAGGTGGGCACGCAGTTTGCTCGGAGATGGAGGGCGTTTTTTACTCGCCTTGAGAATTACCACGGACTTCGCCCCGACATCCCTAGTCACATTTGGCTACTTCAAACACTCTTTCTTAGCGAAATCAATCGGGACTGCTACGACTTTCAAGCGGAATGGAATTGTCATCCAATAAGCGGTCCGGATACAAATGATAAGAGTCCAAAGGTAAGTTCACAGATGCATTATTGACACAACTATGATATTGACACATTATAAAAAAGGATTTACGTTTTTTGGGACAGGTACAATTCGGAGTATATCAAGATGACTGTGAAGGGATACATCCCGACGTAATTGAAGAGTATTACGGCGTCTATGGCCGTGTTGCAACTCGACGCCAACACCAGACCGGAGCAGGTCATCCCATGGATGAAGAAGACAGTGATGATGGTGAGGAACCTCAAGATATAGCACAAGTGGTCAATAATCAGCAAAGGGATCATGTCCACCATGAAGCCATTGGTGTTCCGTCGCAAAGGAACCCTTTCGTCAATGAAGGAACATACCAGCAATTTTCTGCCACTCTCACCGAAGTTGTAGCCGAAGACATAACACCACGCCATTGCAGGCTGGCCGCAGATGAGTGGGAAGGTAATGGATACCCTGTTTTTGAGACCATTTCCGTTGGTCGCCGGGGATCCAAAGAGCTTCATGTGTCGCTTGGAGAATTGATATGGTTTAGTCGAGCAAAGCTGTGGTGTCAAGCATTAGTAGTGTTGTCATATTTTTTAGCTGCTGGTAGAGAGTGACGAGACTTACTGGTTTAATACGTGAATGAGAGCATTGCATAGCCCAACTGGTAGTGATCTCGTATTAGCTTAAATAGACACAATAACCAGACTCGATAACTCACTTCAGGTCATTTTCGCTTCCTCTTGAAGTCACGTTCACTCTGCACCCTTCCACTTGCGGTGACGCTGTAATTGCATGGATTCCATCAGCGAGAGCAACAACAAAGTCATCTTCTGTAGAGGCGTCAAGGCTGACAGTGAACCATGTGACTGCGAGGAGTTTTTTGCTCAGTCACAGGACAAGGGTCATTGTGTGGAGTGTGGCCACGGCCGTAGCAAGCACCCTCGTAAAGTCTTGGACTACAGACCAGAAGATACTATTCAAGACGAACCTCAACCAAGTTCATCGGCCACCATCAAGGAGATATTTGATCGAGTCGCTGGTGGCAGGAGCATCAATGACAAGCCATCTGCCACAAGGCGAGGGAGCCTCTCACTCACTGCTGCCCGGGATGAAGCCATCTCAACATTGTCTTCTACTCGACTCGCTGGCTACAATAAATTGGCCAAGGGTCCGGTGCCATCAGCTGGCTTGCGGAAGGTATGAGCCTGATATACATGGACAGCTAGTACAAAATTTCATTGATAACTTCTAGGATCGCAAAGAAACCAACCCATACCCACCAAGTCAAGTGCGCCGGAACACTGCCTCTAATAGTGCCACAGCAGCGACTGCCACTGTGTTTCGAGTTGCGTCAATCGCCATGCTAATTTGCGGCACCGATGTCAGTCAAGTAGTACCCTCAATGAATCAAGCTAATACCGTATCGTTTCACAGAAGAGTGGTCTCATCAGAGAAGCCAAAGCCCCAGGCAAGGGTGGCCAGAATGAAATACAAGCCATGAGGAACCGCGGGTGCTACCTCGACCAGCAGTTTAGAATCGACAGCGGATGGTCATATGCAAAGATCACCAATAACCTACGTACCTGGTTCCCAAAGGTCTTCAGATACCTGGATACGCAAGTTGAGAAGCGAACGTCCCAACCACGGTCCAGCCATGAGGAAAAACCTGTTTGGCGCCTCCTAAACAAGTCTGGACAGGTGTTGACAGTTGTCGATGTTGCATTTCCAACTGGAAGTGACCTCTCAAAACACAAGGGACGAGACAAAGCCAGCGCCAGCGAATGCCATCTCTGGTTTGGTAGGTTCATGTTTATTTGCTTTGACCTTTATGTGCTAACAAATCCAATTCAATTTTCAGTAACGAGGAACCGGATCCCGGACGATATTTACGAATCTTGGAACACGCAGCCTGTTATTGCAGGTTCAGATTCCGAACGTGATGAGAGTGACCAACTTTTCTCTGATACGGACGGTTCAGTTGCCGATAAGTCTGACAACGAGCTCGCAAGTTCCTTGATGGAATTGGATCTGACTGATGTCAAAGTCAAGGACTCAAACCCCAAAGGTAAAATGAAGGCAAGAACACCAAAACGTACCAATCACAGTGAGTGTTATGGAACTTCTACTAATTGTTCACGTCTTACTTGTCTGTTTTGCAGTGAAACGAGTCCTTTCTCCTGACGAGTCATCATCCGATACGAAGCGCCGAGTGGTTCAAAAGAAACATAAGAAAGGTTCGTCATCCTGCTTGTTTTCTCAGATACTACTTAATGATATGTATTTGATGTTCAGAATCAGCGAGTGACGTTCCGCTATTCTTTTCAGACTCAGGAAGTTCAAGTTGTCAAGCCCCTCCACCAACCCAGCCTCAATTCAGTAGCCTCCGTCACGGTGACCTGCGACTCAAAGTGTCATCTCCACCCGAATTTGTGTCCGTCAGTGAGGACGATGTCCTCTGGCGCAACAGAACGGACGGCGATGACCCCTTCGCTCCGGAACGCATCAATCCTTGGGACTCTCGTTATATCATGATGCAGAATGCTGCTAACTTTCTTATTTGAATCGCTGATCACCCTTTGAGCTACAGATAGTACTAATTTCATTTCATGTTCTTCCTCGTGCTTTGCGGTACATACTGTCAACCTCATCCCGCCTCATCACATCACCCATCCTATACTTCCTACCTTGCATCCTCGCGGTGCACTAGCTAATGATATATCACGGTCACATACATATCTCATTCATTACTTCACACTCTTTTCCAAATAGACAAAGATTTCGATGTGTGAAGTGTGTAGTGCGGGGAAGGTTAAATTCAAACGCGGAGGCTCTGGACAAGATGCGCAAGTGCGGGGGACAGCGCGCAGGGGTGCGCAACGCGCAAATAATAAAAGTGCTGATATAACGCCATATAAACTTGGTGTCTATCTTCCTGTCCTCACGCATTGTTTTTCACTTCAGAGAGAAAAATATATGAATTTTCACCGGCCTCCGAAGTTTGCTCCATAGAACGAGCAGTCCCTTGTATCAGGTACCCGTAGTCATGCATTCATGACGTACTAAAGTATATTTAAGGCTGGAGCCAGTAAGCTCTAGTCTGCTCTACTAAGGCTAGTACATAGTAAGGTATAAATAGTACCGGGAAGTTATTTATAGCGGTACCTATAATAGGGAAAAACCTGCAAGAGATTGGCCCGCATTACATCAATTTGTCTTGCCCCCGAGATTAGGACGTTTACTACTGTATCTAATTATAAGGGAGTCGTTCTGGCGGGAAAAGGATTGTGGTAATATTAGCTGCTTCTTCATAGGACTTGCGACCTCCACCCCCCAACTGTGAGGGTGATAGAGAGTCAAAGATCGGACATAACTCATGCCATTCTTCTGTAAAGCGGTTCAGCCATGGAAGTACAGATTTTTCACATATGACCTACGTGGCACGGTGTTCAAGTGTGCGGCGGTATCTGAGGGACTTTCCGCCATTACCACGGCAAAACCGCTAGATTTGAGGATTAGCTATGTCTTTGATGAAGACGTACAAAAACTTACGCATCGAGGTGCCAGTCAATGTGACTTTTAGTTTTGAGTTAGTACTACTTTGACAACTCAATAAAATGATGCATACCAATGCAAGTACCAGGGACCAGAATTGTCGGTCGTCCATCGGATCACCATTTGTTCCCCTCTGCTGCCAGCGCTCACCACATCGCGGCGAACGGGATTCACATAATTGAAGTCTTTGCTGCCTGCGCTCTGTACGACATCGAAGGCATGCTAATGATCATCAGTACCAGCCTGCGACCATGCCGTAGCAAACTTACCCCATGAATATGTATGGGATGCTGGTATAATGTATATCAAGCAAATGAGCGTTAAAGGAAGGGAACATACGTACGGGTCCACCTGCACCGCTAGTTGACAATGTCAACTCCACCACTTTATTAGCCTCTAGAACTATGACACTCCCATTTGGAAGCAGCTGAGATGGCTCGCTAGCTCCGCTGAGAATTTGGAGCAGAACTGGAACGGTGGGTGGATTGTATTGGACATCATTGACGTAGAATAATCCGCCTTTGCTGGTCACCGAGAGGTTGAGGTTGATGTCTGCCTTCCCATACTCTGGAATGCCAGGAGCACCGGGATTGATCAGCGCATGCAAGTCTGTTTCTTTCAATGGGGTCGCAGATGTAGTATTGACCGTAGTCGGATCGACATTCGGGGCGCCTTGGTACCGCAGGATTGCAGAGTTCGTTCCTCCCGCGTAGGACGCATTTACCAGATTAGGAAGACTGCGTACCCAGTAGTTATCCACCAGCTTATCAGCTACCAGAACCACGGAGTAGCGCTGACCCGCGAAAATACGGAGCTCATCTACTACCAGGGGTGCGGTCAGCTGTCCATCCGCTTCGATGACGGTTAAGTTGTGGCCATCAATGGAAAAATGATAGTTGGGGTCGCACGACGTTGAAACAAGGCGCATGCGATAACGCTTTCCTTGCTCGACACTGATCACAGCGAGTTCAGACATGGGTCCGCCAGCATATCGGCCCAGTCCATTGATGAGCGTGGAGTTGGCGGTTGTACCTATGATGTTGCGCAAAACCGGGGCCACAACGTGATACCTAGTGACACTACATTGAGCAGGCAGATTATCGACATACATAACACTCACCAGTCGGACAGTGTGATTACGGTACTCGCTAGCAACAACATGATGGTCAGAGGATAAATATAAACCAGCTGTTTGCTCACCATTGTCAACATCGTACATATATGCCAAAGGGTCCTGGGGATCATAGATTACCAGGGGTCCTCTCAGACCATCACACTGTTACACAAGTCAGTCCTCTACTGCATGCGCAAAGTTCGAGCGATACTTTCATATTGGACGGAATAATGACTATGATACCAGAAGGTGCCTGCCTGGTTCGGAGCGGAGAAAGAGTGTAAAAAAGAGTGGTTTTGCGCAATGGGGCATTGTGTGACGAAGGATGTTCCATCGGCATAATTCGTCCCATTCTCAAAGAGACCGTGCCAGTGCTGCAGAAAACAAAGGTTGATCAATGACAACATGGATAATGAATGATGCTTACGACACTGGTACTCAGGAACATCGATTCGTCCTTGAGCTCGTTGACCACCTCGATGGCAAAGTCATCTCCCTAATGTGAGGTGAGCACTGATACACGAAAGGAGGTCGACGGATGTTCACCTTCTGAGCTGCAATCAAAGGTCCAGGGAATATGCCGTTAACTAAAGTTGCTCTATCTAAAATCAGCAGTGAGCTTTGAGTGCCGTTGCAATAGACTCACGAGCGTTCGAAGCCATCAGGAGCGATGAACTTATTACCTATGGTCATTCTAGTTTTTGGACCAAGCACTGCTGGCTGAGATAATGGGTAGGACTGCGAGCGAGATACAATCGATGCAGCGTTAATCGATGAAACAAGAGAAACGAGTAAGAGAAGAATAAACATCGTGAATATTTAAAATAGGTAGTACTCTCTTCACCCAGGAGAGTACTAGCGGGATGCAGGATGCAGGATAAGATTATGATGAGGGAACACATACCTCTCGCAGCTTTTATCTCGCAGTGGTAAATAGCCTTGCGTGTTTTCCGATTCAAAGCTGTTGTTATCTCTATCGATTTTCCTGGCTTGTGATTATGCCGAAAACAGTTATCGATCACCTCCAGTGCCTTGGACATCTGAACGCCAATAGTGTAGTGCCCATGTAGTTAGCAACTACTATCTGCCGACGTGTTGGGGAATGGTAACGTAACACAAACAATCAGACATGAACCAACTCAGACAGCCAGAACAGCCAACTGAGCTCGCTTGTCACATAGCAGTGCTATTAGTGCTAGGTTGCCACAACAGTTCGAGGCAACTCTTCAAGTACAGCCTGAGGAAGAGAATGCAGATGACTAGTGACCCCTTGACAGGCATGCCATGCGAGGGAATCGGACTAGAATTTGTGTGAAAGGAATGGTCATGGATTGTAAGGAAGCCGAGCGCTGACCTGTCCATGTTTCTTGCCACTGATCAAAGTATACTATATCGATGTTAGTCGCTCTGTGTTAGGCAACGTGTATAATTATAATGATCATCTTGACAAGATCGGTGACATAGCGGGGGGCACCACGCCGGCCGCCAACCGATACTGTCACTGAGAAGGAAAAGCGTGAAGGATGTACTGGCTCCTCAAAGCGCGGATGAGGCAGTGATCAGGCGGGATCCAGGAACGGAGTGTGAATATGCTACACCTACTTGGTGGCCGTGCATTACATAACGATCAAGAGGTTGCGGTCCTACTAATACGGATCAGCATCGGCTGAAGTCACAAGTACTTGTTTATTGTCCGTCGGGGCGATACCCTACGTCTACTGTATCAGTACTCTATTTGATGTTTCAGAATGGTGGGTCTTGTACAACGGTCCTGGTCGACGTTAACAGTGATAGGGTAATGGTTACAGTGATGATGGATTGCGCTGCCTTCGCTAACCCTCGTGCCTTTCTCTTTTCTTTGGGCGGCGATACCGCGTCTCTGATTCAGATTCTAGACCAACTTCAATCTCCTTGTGGTGCTGATGGCTAAATATGACTGAGATGCAGATACACACTGTATCAGCTATCTGCGACAGAAGTCGTCATGCGCATCGCCAATAAGGAGACGTGGCTTAATAGGATGGCCGCCGCATTGAGGGATGAACTAGTGGCTGAAGTACTGTGCACTAAACGCTCAGGTGTCAGGCTCGGCACATAATTTTGAAAGGAGACAGCTGGCAAAGTTTAATGACGGGGCGGTTGCGGCAATCATTGAGGGTTGTGCGGCCACTATTGAATTGTGGAACTCGGTCGGGTTGAAGTGACCATAAATGATTCATAGCGATGGAGTCTGAAAGTGTGCTCACGGCTGCAGCGGCGTAGCGAGCTATGGCAGTGACTCAAACTGTGATGATGGTATCATGGGTGGAACTGCTCACAGGCAGGCGGTCGAGTTATTATTATCTCTGAAAGTCGGGCTGAAACGACCATAACTGGCTAGTAAAAGCTAGAAAAATGGAGCCTCGGCGGCCGTAAAGTGTCTGGCTGAGCCAAAGCGACTCTTCAACTCCCATCATCCTTCTTCAAGCTTTGCACTCACCGCTCTTTAATACTCCGTGACCAGCCTGGCTTATAATACACCACGGACAAGTCGAGTGGCGAAGCCAGGCTGGTTGACTTCGGAGAAATCTGGCAGAGGAGTTTGAATTTTAGCAGGTGCCGGTGCCGGGTGGCACTCAATCGAGTCTTAGCAGTACTATTATGGTACGCGCAATCGGCAGCCCCCAGAAGTCGGCACTTTCACAAAACTCGTGTTTCCAGCTACCTAAACACAAAATTCTTTACATAGACATCATTCTCTCTCTAACACAACTCAATACGAGGTCAAACGAATACATTTGAAGCAGAATTGAATGAGATAGCTGAAAGTGCCGAAGTCACGCAGAAATGTCACCTGCCGATATATGCCGTGACGGAGTTTCAATACTGCACACACCAGTGCCTTGCCAGTGCCGACTGGTGCTGTGCTGCTGGTCATGGGGCTAGAGCAGCGTGAAAAGGATAAGGCCGACGCGGAGAAGCAGGCCAAAAAGAAGACAGAAGATGAAGCGCGCCACACTCAGATCGAACGCGATATCGAGTCGAAGACGTTTGATGCACTCTCAACACTCCGGCGCAAGGATGATCATTTTATCGCACTTGCTGGCGCTCTCAAGATTTCAAGAGACGGAACGGTTGAGGAACTCAGGACTAGACTCAAAGAGTTTCTTGCTGATGCCGCAAATCAGCACTTTGCCTACAATCCACGTTTTGCTGCGCTCTTCCAGACGGGAAAAACGCGTTCGAAGAATAAGAATTTAGCCACTGCGTCATCGACAGGACAGGCTAGTAGTGGCGCCTCGCAAGACAATGACGCTACCTCATCCAACACTTCCGGTACTCATTTTTTCACCCCACCTGCCAGTGCACATTCTTTTAATCCATATTATCCTCCACACTTTACTAACCAGCCATATTTTCATCAATTCTATGCTAATCCAGCTCTCCGCGCACCATCTTACTCTACAACGCAACATAATAATTCATCCGGCGGTCCCATTGCGTCATCATCAAACTTGGACAGACAACCTCAGCATCCTTACAACACACACAGTCTCCCTACACATCCCCCTCAATTATACAACTACGGTACTAATCATGGTCACCCTCGTACTTAGATTCTACTAGTATATACTGTACTTGCTTGCTCACGCCGAATACTAACTCACTTCCTTGCGCTCCTGCTTGACTGCCGAGCTGACTTTGAAACTGGCTCAGTAACATGTCGTGCAGGCTGTATGCTATGTTAACCTCAAACCATGAGTTTTATCATCAATTCTGTCCCACCTTTGTCGTGTGTTTCTCTAGAAGCTGTCCACAATCTACCAGTGGACTTTACGAGCGGCCTTTCGACGAAACAAAGCCAGCAAACTCTCGAAGCTTTCGCACAACTTGACTTTATTTCGCGAGGAACACAACATCCTACATTATTTCAATTCAAATGCATGATATCATTACTTGCCGCAAGAAATGTGATGCTCCGAGCTGCGACAGGCTAGTAGTTCGGGTGTGACGTCTTTTGACGACATGCGAAAAATGACCTTAGAGGTCTCCATCTCGGCATCAACCTCATCGGTAAGTCGTACTAGTCAGTAACTATTGCGATCGTAAAATGATGCGAAGTTGCTCGCTCGCTTGCTTGTCAGCATCCAACAGATTGAGAAATTGCACAAAGGCCTTGCTTCAAGAAATGCTTCTCTTCAAGGTACCATGGAGGCTTTGTGTGGGATAGAGTATAACATGAGTCCGTGGCCGTCATCCAAAGTCCACGATGGATTTTTAGAACGGCCAGGATTTGTCTTGGTCCAGGCTCGAAGGATTGACGATCCAAATCAAAGGCTCGACAGGTTGCTGGTATTGGGGCATGGGTGGCTGGAATACATTAAATGGTATCATTTTATTATGCTATTCGATGTTCAGTACTGCTACTGGATGCGCTATGCTATTTGAGAGGCATACAGTACTTTGTACGATGTGAAGTTTTCTTTGAACGAAGGGCTTGTTCAAGTTGTTGATCAACACACTGTACAAAAACGGGGATTACATAGAGGCTGAGCCGACGTGAGTAGTGAGACTGGTTACGAGTCTAACTAGGTCTAACTCCGTTGCGCAATCAATAGTTGAATCAATTTTACGCTAAGGTCTTGCGGTGATTAGGCAAGCGGAGTTCCCCAGCTCCATGACTCGGACAAGCTTTATTGCGAACCGAGAGACATAAATACATGACACGGCAGTAAACCGAAATAGACGTGAGGCTCGAATGAGCAATGAAACTAGTCTAGCAGGCAGAAAGAGAAAGACACGAGTGACAGAGGCACGATGGACATGCTAAAGGGCTAATCTTTTTTTACGGTTTTGTACCTCGTTTTGTACCTTGTTTTGTGGTCTTGGCGCCAGTAGTATGCAGAGTCGTGAACAGGATTGTGAACGGGAAAGATGCCGAGCTAGAGTTGTCGAGAAATCATGTGAGCTGAGAGGGTCGTATATGCGACGTGTCCGAGTTTGATGGCGCGCGAACTGAGCCATGTAGTAGAGCATTTAGTAAGAACGCAATGACGCATGTTGGCGTATATTAATACTTATTAGATTCATCTGAAGAACACCGACCTGCTGCCTGGATAAGATCTGGGGCCATTCCCGCAATAGCCAGAGCTGTTGCACCCACAGCTCTCATTGAGTGACCTGACATTGCAGATCCGCAATGTTCCCGTAATCGCCGCAGGAACCAACTACACCTTGTTGGTATCGGACCCGCGCTTGTCAACCACAGCGCAGGCCGAAATGGAAATGCAGTATCGCGGCACGCAAAATAGCATCGCAATAATGGTAGTGGGTCAAGTCCAGTTATAGAATCCGACAAAATGAGGATGGTTGTACCAGTCCCAAAACTATCGTGTTTCTGGTAAGGCAGGGTGTATGAACAGATGGTGCTCAGGGGACAAGTGTGGGACGTGCAGAAAACGGATCACGTCAGTTAGACACTTTATATATTATACTTGGTTACAGTTAACCCCGATTTATCAACATATCATAGCGAAATTAATTATTCAAGCAATATTATTGGTTGCTACACTGCGCGGAAGGGATCGGCCCGGTGTAGGGATGAAAATACCTTCGGGAGTGCCATCAGTAGTATTTTTAACGCTCATCATGTAGGACTATGCTCAGGCTAAAAGTGATCAGTGATTTATCACCCTTGCTGAGCTACAAACTCTGGATTCGTAGACGACGTTCAATCTTGAAGTTCATCGGAGGCTGACCTGGGCTGAAACCGACCCATGGTCTGTATTTAACTCTCAATGATGAACAGTCCACCTCCCTTATACCATTCCCAGTCGATCATAGTGTCATGTCCACAACGGACATTGCATACCGTCTTATCCTTACAGTAATCAGTCTTATTACATTTAGAATCCTCCGTTACACCGCCGAGTACCAGTGGAAGCGGGGTGTCAGCCCTGACAGACCCGTCGGGGCCAAGTCCTTGACAGTTTGTAGAGAAACACAGTACAAGGTCAGCGATATTGATGAACTACACTTCTACTAATCCTTGACCATTACTCGAACAGTTCCCTGATCTCATCAGCCAAGGGGAAATTTACGAGAGTATCATACTTTACTACTCATCGAGATGGCATGTGTACCAGAAGGGGCGCTATCCAGGATCGCTGACGGTCTTCACGGTATGTTGTTTGACCTTTTGTCTCTCATTGTTCGTTTTTGAGGCCTTCTTCCTTGTCTACTTTTAGTCGAGTGAATCTCGTTGCGTTGGCAATTTATACGTGTCGAAGAGCCTGAAATTTTTCAAGGGAATTCTTCGTGTTCCCGGCTTGGTATGCTCAAGTCATTATGTTCCTTGGCGTATTATCACGATCTATGAGTAGCCGCGTTATCCAACAACAGCACACGGAATGAGTCTCATCAAATATGCACCTTTGTTTCCACGTTTGGCCTCCCAGCTACCCTGGAGCTCTCGTCATCCTGAAAATGTTTCGAGCGTATGCAAAGCTACCCTAAGGAGAAGAGAGTATGTCAATATACTTGCAAAAAGTGCAATCAGGCGCAAAGTGAAAGAATCGCAAGTACGCCACGGCAGTATCGGCCCGATATGCCGTCCGGTCTCAAGTCCGAACAGCCAAAAGACACACGACCTTCGCAAAGCTCTCGTGAAGACACTAGGAGCTAGCGCATTGAAGAGGCAGTCACTCGTGATCAAGGAGAAAGAAGCATCCCACACCTCGAAGAAAGTCCGTATGGAGTGCCGCACGCGTTTGGCCCTCGGAGAGAATCTGTCGATCAAGAACCTCGCTTCTGCTGCCGCTGCGAGAAAGGCGCCTGCAGCATCTTTTCTGCCTGATCGAAGTTCGCCATCCCGAATCCATTCTGTACAGCCGAAGACGCGTTATCAGAGCCAGAAGCTGAGTCGTCGCAGTTTATTTCACCTCGGACCGGAAGACGCTGTTCCAAGTTCCTGCCCCGCTATAGTCTTTATGTAAATATCCATGCTTTTAAACTTTGCATGCTTATGCACATGAGTCAGCTTCTGCCAATTAATGTCATCGTGACCACGCAAGTTGTTTCAGTCAGCCAATTAAGATGTACGTACAAATTTGTAATCGGACACTCAGGCTAGTCATGATAATTTGTGAGAAGTGATGGGACCTATTGCGGGTCCGGGAGTGTATTATATATATTCCGCTCAGATTTCGCCATTGATTGTTATCGTCGCACCTTATGGCGTCTTGTCGGGACGTTGAAGGATGGCACATCATATCACAGCTTCGTGAACTTGATTTCACTCTTTGCTTCGAAGAAGGCGTCATTTTGACATCTCTTCTTGCTCTACTACTACTGTCAGCGACATGCAGAATTTGGGCCTTGAGATATCTTCCGTCTCGTGACATCTCACGGAAAAGTCGCTGGAGACTGTGGGCGAAGCTGGTGCATTCCAATGGTTTTCTGTGTCTACCTGGTACTAACTTGGCGGGCAGACTTTGTTGGGACTGGCCATTGTCGCGTCTTGCTTCAACCTCTTCGTCGTCTTGTCACTCAAGCAAACAGCATCGGTCGTATGGCCTCACGTACTCGAACCGCTCGCGCTGCTTGCGTCTTGGATACTCACTCGACTGAACCACCGTCGGACACGGTCATCATCAACCATTCTCCTATTATTTTGGCCTTGTTACACCGTCGGCCTCGCAATATGGACTAGATCGTTCACGCAGGACGAAATTTCAAAAGGACTCTTCGTGGTTCTTTCGAAGTGGGCCGTCGAACTTTTTTCTTTCCCGGCATACGTGCTGGAGTGCGTCTCCCCTGACGATTCGGTCAACGATAATACGGAGAGCCCAGTGGTCACGGCCAATGTGTATAGTATCTGGTCATTTGCGTGGTTGACGCCATTGATGCAGAAAGGTTCAAAGGAGTTCATTACGGAAAATGATTTACCTGCTTTGCTTCCCCGTGACGAGTCAGAGAATCTTGGAAATGATCTGCAGAGCGCTCTGGATAAACAGTGAGTGCAATGTTTATAAAAAGGTTTTTCTCTGTCCGACCGACTTGCAGCTCGTCCGTATGGCTCGCATTGTTCCTATCATATGGTGGGCCGTATATGGGTGCTGCATTCTTGAAACTCTTACAGGACAGTCTCGCATTCCTGCAACCTCAACTTCTTCGATGGCTCCTGGCATATATCTCGAACTATCAGAGCACCAAAGGTGCAGCTAACATCCTTGTTGGTCCGAGCCCTCTCGAGGGCTATATCGTTGCTATCATTATGTTTGTGACATCCATGGCGCAAAGTGTTGTTCTCCACCAGGTAATTCGGCCAATGTGATCGTGTCCACGGTACTAACCAAAACATAACAGTACTTCCAAATCTGTTTCGAGACAGGCATGCGTGTCCGCGCTGGTTTGGTGACTGCTATCTACAAAAAATCTCTCGTGCTTTCTAGCGATGAGCGAGGGAGTCGAGCATCTGGAGATATTGTCAACTTGATGTCCGTCGATGCGACCAGGCTACAGGACCTATGCACCTATGGTCTGATCGCGATTTCTGGACCATTCCAGGTAGGGCAGATTATACTCCATAATAACCAGGCTCACGCTGTCGTCAGGTTACACTGGCTTTTGTATCGTTGTACAACCTTCTCGGATGGTCGGCTTTTGTCGGAGTTGCGATCATGATATTCTCTGTTCCGCTAAATACGACGATCGCAAGGATGCTGAAGAAGATGCAGGAACAACAAATGAAGAACCGCGATAAGCGAACCAGGCTAATGAGCGAGCTTTTGGCCAATATTAAAAGGTACGTCAGCCTCATGCACGCAAAGAATTTCATTAACGATCGTCGTTCGTGCAGTATCAAACTTTATGCATGGGAATATGCATTCATCCGCCGCGTTCTGCACGTGCGCAATGATTTGGAACTGAAGATGCTGAAGAAAATTGGCATTGCAACGGTGCGCATCGATTTTCAGACAGAGTAACTCGTGTTCATCCTTGCACATTCATTAGGCTCTCAATACGACGCTTTTCGGAGGCATTCCTCGTGTGTACCCTGCCTTTGACTAGTTGCTCACAACTAACGAGCATATCACTCAGTAATTGTGGCATTTAGTTCTTTTGCCACTGCATCTGTGTTCTCGTCGCGACCACTCACAGCCGACGTCATCTTCCCTGCGATCTCGCTGTTCATGCTCCTCCAGTTCCCACTTGCGATGGTGAGTAAGAGTTGCATTGCAACCTCAGCAATCATTGACCATGTCACAGTTCAGTCAAGTCACGTCAAACATCATTGAGGCACTTGTGTCCGTCAAACGTCTATCAGGTTTCCTGCACGCTGAGGAGCTGCAACAAAATGCCCTTGTGAAGGCGCAGAAAGAGAGTCTGAATGTTGGTGATGAGGTTAGCAATTCTCTAGCTACTTGATGATCATTCTCACATTTGTGATAGGTACTTTCAATCAAAGGCGGCGAATTCCAATGGAACAAACAAGATATTTCAGCTGCTCTGGAAGATGTCAACTTGACGGTGCATAAGGGGGAGCTAGTGGGTGTGCTCGGTCGTGTGGGCAGCGGGAAGAGTAGCTTGCTGTCAGCGATTATCGGAGACATGCGAAAGACAGAGGGTGAGGTGGCTTTGTTCGGCAATGTAGCATATGCTGCTCAGAATCCTTGGTACGTTGTATATGCGGCACTTTCTAGCATGTTCGCTTACAGGCGAACAGGATTCTTTCTGCGACGGTTCGAGATAACATCCTTTTTTCGCACGAGTACGATGAGGTGTTCTATGATCTTGTTATTGAAGGTATGTACATGATCAGTTGTGTGAGATTGGGACTGACCTTCTCTACAGCTTGTGCTTTGAAGCCCGACCTAGAGCTTCTCTCGCAAGGTGATCTGACGGAGGTCGGCGAAAAGGGTATGTTTTTTCCCATCCGTTTGGCGACCCAATAATGTTCATGGTGTCCGTTTTATAGGCATTACTGTAAGTACTTCGGCATAATAAAGTATCTGTCAAAGGCAAATGGTCTCTCAGCTCAGCGGTGGCCAACGTGCTCGTGTCGGGCTTGCTCGTGCGATTTATGCTCGTGCAGATCTGTAAGTGTCTTCTTTTCGTACACGATGTGCTGCTGACGCATGCGTCCTGCAGGGTTCTTCTTGATGATGTTTTAGCTGCTGTTGATTCCCATGTTGCCCGGCATGTGTTTGGTGAGTGAAAGCATCTGGTCTCACAGACTGACTCCTTTAAATAACAATACTATGTAAACAGATCATGTCATTGGTCCTCAAGGCTTGCTCGCAACTAAAGCGCGCATTCTTGTCACTAACAGCATCTCGTATCTCAAGTATTTCGATCAACTTGTTTACCTGCGCCGCGGTATTATCTTGGAGAGTGGCTCGTACAATGAGTTGATGTCGAATTCGGATAGTGAAGTACGCAAGCTTGTGTGGGTATATTTCGATCTATGATGTTTGGCGCAATCTAATTGAATCGATGATAGTCACGGTCACGCCGCGAGCGGTTCTAGCTCTGGAATGGCCACACCTGGACGGTCCAGTGGCATGGCCACTCCCACCACAAGCGATGGGGACGGGGAGATGCAAGCCACCCTTGTTGGAGAGCTTGAAAGCGTATCAGAGAAGGTATCACGTAAAGGAAGTTTCAAAAAAAGCCGTCCTCGCTGCACCGCCCAAGCTGCGCGACGTCTCTTCCGATGGTATCACGAAGGAGCACAGTGAACAGGGCCGCGTCAAGATGGAAGTGTACTCGCAGTACCTCCATGCAGCATCGAGAAAGGGGTTCCTGTTCTTTGTACTTGCTACGGTCCTGCAGCAGGCGGTATCTGTCATGTCGACCGTAATGCTCAAGCTCTGGGGCGAGCACAACCGTGAGACGGGTGCCAACGCGGGATTGACTGACAAGTATTTCCTTGGATATGGATTCTTTATTTTGGTGGCCATTTCCTTGAACGCATGTGCTGCGCTTCTGATTTGGGTTTTCTGCTCGCTTCGGAGCTCAAAGTACCTTCATGATTCGGTTGGTGTTACTTCCAAATATCGATGAAATGTTTTTCATTGATTTTTCAGATGCTGCATTCGGTCATGCGTGCGCCTCTCAGCTTTTTTGAGACAACGCCATCGGGACGGTACGTCATATCTGTAAGTGTGGAATGGTTTCTTTGAGATCGAACAATCTCTTGTTGCAGTATTTTGAACTTGTTTTCTCGCGACACATATGTTGTCGATCAAATCCTGGCGCGAGTGATTCAAAATCTGATACGCACGAGCACGGGCTGCGCTTCCATTATATTGGTCATCGGGTTCAGCTTCCCGCCCTTCTTGATCGCTGTCGTTCCTCTGGCGTGGTTCTACTCCAGGATCACTACGTATGAATGACCTTGTTCTTCTCACACTATCATCCTGACAATATTGATAGGTACTATCTTGCGACGTCGCGTGAACTCAAGCGCCTAGATGCGGTGTCCCGCTCACCCATCTTTGCGTGGTTCTCGGAATCCTTGGCTGGACTTTCCACTATCCGGGCCTATGACCAACAATCCGTTTTCATTGCGAACAACGCGCGCCGCATTGATCGCAACCAGGTGTGCTACCTCCCTAGTATTGCCGTAAACCGTTGGCTTGCAATAAGATTGGAGTTTGTTGGAGGAGTAATTCTCTTCGTCGCAGCTGTTTTGGCTGTCTCTGCCGTTGTGACCAGCGACGTTGATGCGGGTTTGGTCGGTCTAGTTTTGTCGTATGCTTTGAACACGACAGGTTCACTGGTGTGTGGCTTTTCCTCCGTCCCGAGGTATTGGTAACTAAGCGGCCGCAGAACTGGTTCGTCCGTTCCGCAAGTGAAGTAGAACAGAACGTGGTTAGCGTCGAACGTATCGTGCACTATGCGAAAGACCTTGAGCATGAAGCTCCTTATGAGATCCCCGAGGATAAACCTGCCTCTGAGTGGCCTACAGCTGGGGAAGTCGAATTCCGGTGAGTTCGTGTCGCTGTGTGCACGAAATTGTGTTGAACTTGTTTGATTAGGGAGTACTCGGCACGGTATCGGCCTGGGCTTGATCTAGTCCTCAAGGATATTTCCATGACCATAGTCAGTCATTCCGCTAGCTTTCCCATAATGTATGCTGACTTCAGATGCTCCAGAAACCCAGAGAGAAAATTGGAATATGTGGCCGAACTGGAGCAGGGAAATCATCGGTAAGATATTTGCTGTTTTTGTTTTTGGACTGTATCGATACTTTTGCAGCTTCTTCTCGCACTATTCCGGATCATCGAGCCTGCGTCTGGAACTATCTTCATTGACAAAGTAGACATTACCAAACTTGGCCTCCATGACTGTACGTCTTCTCTAAATTTTCCGTATAGGCACCCTTTGATCAACCCACAATCAGTGCGTTCCGCAATATCCATTGTTCCTCAAAGCCCAGATTTGTTCGAGGGCACATTGCGAGAGAACATCGACCCTGCTGGCGAGCATCAGGACGTTGACATATGGACTGCTCTGGAACATGTACGTCTTTGAAATGTGCTTGCGCTTCTGATGCTTACTAACGACGCTTGTGCAGGCCCATCTCAAGGCATATATTGAATCACTTCCTGGGGGACTAGATGCTCCGGTTCAGGAGGCTGGATCATCGCTTTCAGCAGGTCAGAGACAGCTCTTGTGTTTCGCGAGGGCGCTCTTGCGCAAGGTACGCGCGTTTGTTTTAGTCGATTGTAATGTTTCGTCGCTAACACTCCCTAGACTAAAGTACTCGTCCTCGACGAAGGTGTGTATGAGCAATGTCTTATTCTTCTGCAAGGCTAATGTGCATGATGCTGTAGCAACATCTGCAGTTGATCTAGATACCGACCGAGCGATTCAAGAAATCATCCGGGGTCCAATCTTCCGTGATGTGACCATTCTAACCATTGCGTATGTCATGTCCATCATCGATGACTAGTGCCAATAATGATGAACCTATAGGCACCGCTTAAACACGATTATGGAGTCTGATAGGGTTCTGGTTCTAGATGCTGGAAAGGTAAGAAAACTCCAATACCGTTCATTCATAATGTGTTGTTGATTGGGAAATTTAGATTGCAGAATTTGATACGCCAAAGGAGTTACTGGAGAACAAGGGTTCTATGTTCCGCTCTATGGCGATGGAGGCTGGTCTAGTTCAAGTCCAGCTTGATGATGCAGAAGAGAACCCACAGGTGTGAATATATACAATCATGAACGACATTTCTTGTGCCCCGAGATGTCTGTTTAGAAGAAATATGACGTTATAACTATGTATATCACTAGATATCCATGTTCCTGCTCTAGATCTTGTCTTTCTCTGTCAACTATTTAATTGTGGGACTCGACGATGAAGTTGGGGTGACCCGATACTCGCCTCGCAATGTACCACAGAAGCAGCAGATGAAAGCAGGGTGGCTTTGCTACTACCGGTACCTGATGCCCCCCAGAAGAGTAGAATCGAAAGAGGTTGAAAGTGAAATAATTATTTTCGTTTCTCAATTGAAATTAGGACTCCTAGTGACAAAAGGTGTTTGACTTGGTACCTGCCAGCGTGACAAACTACTGAGCAAATTTACTTACACCACTGCTGATAGTGAATTCGACATGTGTTATTAGAGAGAGTAGAAGTTGGAGGCACGTGGTACAATCTTCTGTTAATAATTTACAATCCTTCGATGATAATGCAGCACATGCACGTATACGTACTGCGGAATCAACATCTTCCGAACAGCAGCGTAGATCTTCACCATCATCGCTTCACCTCGTACTTCTCCCAGCCAACTTCTTCCAGTTTCTCAACCTTTGCTATAACCTCGCCCTCTAATCCTCTCAGGTACGCATCAATATCTGCAAACAGATGAGGCATACCAGCCCCGAGAATCCGCACAGCTAGCAATCCAGCATTCATACCGCCGTTAATTGCAACTGTCGCCACAGGTATACCTCGCTGTGGTAACACTCAGACACCAACGAATCACATAAAGACACAAAGACCCCAACTCACCGGCATTTGCACGATACTATGCAACGAATCAACACCATCGAGCGAGCTACCTTTTACAGGAACCCCAATGACAGGAAGCGCGGTCATAGCAGCAACCATGCCAGGAAGATGTGCTGCACCACCTGCTCCAGCAATGATCGTCCTCAAACCCCTTGAGCTCGCTGACCTTGCGTATTCGACAAGGCGATCTGGTGTGCGATGTGCAGAGACAATGGTGAGTTCATAGGGAATCTTGAACCGATCCAGAATACGAGCAGCTGGCAACATTACGGGAAGGTCGGAATCGGAGCCCATGATCACACCAACGAGCGGGTGTTTGTGGGAAAAGCCGCTGCCTTGTGCGGGGGTCTCTGGGGCGTATAGAGCGAGCTCTTCTTCGGTACTCCCTGATGGCAATGCCGTTAACAGTGGTCGCAGGCGAGAGCGGACCTCTGAATCTGACTTGCCCACGATGGTGACGTGTCCCATTTTGCGTCCTTTGCGACACTCCGATTTGCCATACAGATGGACTACACAGCCGTCTGTCTTGATACACTCAGATGCGAAATTAGTGACTTCTGCCATGTTGGATGAAGCGCCAACGATATTCAGCATCGCAGCTGAAGACACCTTCAGTGACGTGGAACCAAGCGGGAGTGAGAGTATGGCGCGCAGATGATTTTCGTACTGGGAGGTTTCGCAAGCTTCTATGGTATAATGTCCAGAATTATGTGGCCGAGGGGCAATTTCGTTGATATAGATAGAGCCTGACAGAATCCGTGTGTTAGGCTGGTTCACACAATCCAGGAGAAACTATCTTCTACCGTCTTCCATGAGGAACATTTCGACTCCAAAGACACCAGCGCCCTGGAAGGTTTTAACTGCGGCTTCGGCTACGGTCTGTGCGCGAATAGCGACATGTGGATCGCGACTCCGCAGGGGGGCAAAAACCAAGTGGCAAATGTTGTCTTTATGAACGGTCTCCACAGCAGGATATGAGCGAACCTCCCCTGTTGTGGAGCGTACTACCATGACAGCGATTTCCTTCACGAATGGCACCCACTTCTCGGCATACAAGGGACGATTCCCGAGGGCGGAAATGGCCTCTTCAACTTGAGCAATATCGCGAACAACAAAATTACCCCGTCCGTCATACGCCAAAGTGCGACTTTTGAGCATAAACGGCAAACCAAGTTTTTCCGCGGTTTGGTGTATTGATGTTACATTGGATTCGATACAGAGAAACTCTGACACGGGACATTGGTGACTCTGGAGGTGCTGTTTCTGTATGAATTTGTCTTGAATAGTCTTCACCGTAGACGGACTGGGATGGATAACAGCTCCGAGGGCTGACTGGATCTCTTCAAGTACGCTCGTATCGACATGCTCGATCTCAACAGTTAGGATGTCGACCTTGCTGGCCAGCGCCTTGATTTTTTCTGGGTCTACGAAAGATCCATCGATGTGAGTGAGAGAGGGAGATCGCGGGGAGACGATTTGCTTCGCTGGGCTATTTTCTCCGACGTCGAGGAATACTATATTGACGTTGAGCAGAGCCGCCGAAGCGGCCAGCATTCGCCCGAGCTGACCTCCACCTGGAACAAGCAAATTAGAAGAAACGATAAAAAGGTCGAGACATAGTCTGGCAGATGTCATGAGCGCTTTAATCGAGAAATTCAACGCTGTGAGCTCACGCGCACCAAGAACCCCGACGACCTTGTCACTCATTGATTTTAAAGTCGATTCGCGTAGATCGTGCGCGTGAAGAGTGAATTGAAGATCTGCAAAGATAATGATCAATATTATGTAATCTCAATTTTGTAAGTAGTCCATATGCGGCATGCTGAAATTTATTGATCCTTCAAGCTTCAAGCTCAAGTTCGACAGATGGGCCCGCCAGCACCAAAGCCTGCTGCTCGCAGGAGGAATAGGAAACGCAAAAGACGCGCCGTATCCTCAGGCTCTTCGTCTTCGTCTGATGATTCATCTTCGGATGAATCCACGCAATCCATACCTCAAAAGCTAGCACCTCCCCCAACCAAACAACCTGAATCCGACACGAGCTCGTCGTCTGAATCTACATCCTCGGATAGTGACTCAGAATCAGATGATGACAACGCTGGTGCAATAGTAAAGGAACAAATGCAGACCGATGGTCTCAAAGTTCCTAATGAAAAAGACGCTCCTCGGCCAAGGTCACCTTCACCTTCCCTGCCCAGTGCAGAAATACCATCTTTCCTACCGCCAAATCTGTCTGCGGACGACGAGGCACGTGAACAAGCAATGAAAGACAAATTTAGGAAATTCTGGATGTCATCCCTTGCGGAAGGATTCAAGGAAGACCTTGAGGAAATACGAAAGGTCAGCAGGTGTTTGTTTCAGACATAAGTGGATCCTCATGAATGACTCTTGCAGGAGCCCAATTTGGGACCCTCCAAGCTAGCATTGCTCATTGACTCGCTCGCAGCTGGGGCAGATATTTTTACGTTATCTGGGTCCGCCAGCGGGACAGACATGAATGAAGTGGATGTTGTCATGGGCGAATAATACAAAGTTCGTGGTCATCTAATCCTCTTTTTCTGTATGTAACCATGACCTGCAGAGTCCATTAGTGGTGTAAGGCCACTGACGCGTGCTCAGATCATTCGGGGCTCTATCGCAGCAAACATATTGAATGATCTTGACGCGCTCCAGTCGGTCGTGCATGTTAGAGCCTCCCGGTAAATTTGCAACACCGTCAATGCGATATTGCAAGGATCCCCTCTGTATCTCGAACAGAGATACCAAATGCAGTCCGTTATACATAGACGAGGAACTTGGCAGTTAGTAATATCTTAGGGAGTGGGGCACCCTGACTTTGCTATGACTCTATACGAGTAGGTCAATGCACGTACAATGTGCGGCACCTGATGATAAAGACGAGTCTGAAATATTAGAGCAGCGACCATCTTTCTGTACAAGTTGATTTTTTGGTTGATGTCCCGCTTATATTCCGTCATTCGACTTGCTGGAAGACTCAGGAAACCTAACGCAAGCGGAGATGAAAGAGTCAATACATGCAGGGAAAGCGAATAAATCATAAATATTGCATCGCAAATATATACATCAACAGCCAAAGAATATTAATCATCAACGAGCGTTAATGACGTATTGAAGGTATTCATCTAATGTCTATCAAAGTGTATCAGCACGAAACATTCTGCTCGATCAGCGACGAATCTCTTACCTTATCCATCTCGTCCAGTTGTTGGAAAGCACCAGCGTATATCTCTTGAATGTCTGGGTGTAGAGTCGTCACATCTATTGGTTTTCCAAACAGCGACTCATCCACTGGATGTACAGAGGGTTGAGGAACCTTGGGTGCTGAACCAGCAATTTCAATGATCGCCATCATATGCGAAAGACCGAAGTCATCTTTGCTAATGTACGGTCGCTTGGGGATTTGCGGTTTGATGGCGTTGTCGGTACGTGGCGTTTCAGGGGGGCTGATGAGCTGTCCAGTGGGGGTGGCGTACATCGATGCTTCTGACATGACAGAAGCGATCGACGATTGACGAAGAGGGCGAGAGGCATTTGTTCCTTGTTTTGATGATGGGGTGGTGGATCGGGCTCGGCTGTGTCGGCCATCTGTTGCAGTAGGTGTCGGTGTCCGAGATATGTCGGACACTGGTGACGCAACGCGTCGAGCCCCAGTGACACTACTCGCAAGCGGTGTGGGAGTCCTACCGTCAGAACCAGAACGGGCAGTTGCAGCGTCATCGACGGAATACTCTGAGGGTGCAGAGCCGGCGGAGGGAAGATCGTCAGATTGACTTGGGGTCGCAACCACGTATTGAGCGTGAAGTCGTCCATCTTTGATTTTGTTCAGTACGCGATCGATCTTCTCATTCATGCCTTCCTTATTGCGCCCGAGGATGCCTTCTAGCAAGTCGTTCTTTTGCGCCGAGTTGCCTTCGCAAAGCTCTTGCTCGACAATGTCACTGATATCATACGACTCGCCGTCTTGGACATATGAATAGCGCATTTTGTCTCCAGAGTTATACCTGGAGCTGCGGATCATGGCGTTTCCGGGAAGAAGAACATCTACACCGCGAAGGGAGTTCATCTGGGCCGAAAGAATGGCCTTTTGATTCGCTCGCGATGCGGCGCGCTGTGCTGCAATGATCTCTTGTCTTGACAGCTGCCTCGGTTTAACTTCCTCGGTACCCGAAGTTTGATTGTCAGAGCTGTGACTAGAGCCAGAAACAGAATCACGGAAATGTTGAAGAGCGATTTCATCAAGGGGTGCGGACATGCGGTGACGAGACGATGATGTTCGATAAGATATTGCTCGGCGAAGAATGAAAACGGGATCGGCGATATGAACGTCATCTATACTTCCAAGCAGCTGAGCAGAATCGATGGATCTGCGCTTGCCTTCCTGGACTCGGCGGAAACTGGGAGGGCGAGTGTATGCATCGGTAACTCTACTTGAAGGCGATAGTTCTCGTTCTGGACCAACGAAGTCAGCACTCAAATCCATTTGTGCTAAGTGTATCCTTTACCTTGCCCTCCAACGTCAGCTGTGAGACCATATCGGACTTTGCTGTTACTTCGCCTCTTCGTCATCTTATCTTCAACTTCGTCACCACCATCAACGACACCTTCCAAGATGCCAAAGCGCTCAAGACCCAGCTCAATCACTTCAGCAACAGTGACATTCTTCGGGAAGGTGAAGACTTTGCGGCGCTGACCCTGTGATATACCAGAAGAAATTGATGATGTAGAATGGGTTCTATCACGCAGCGTGTTCTTGAATACGATGGCTTCGGTGACTGGGTCGAAGACCATATCATCGGGCAGGTCCTCGGGGTGGATAACAAGCTGCAATGTGAAGCGGTACGAAGGAGAGCTGAAACGATCAGGAGTGACGTTGACACCGCTCGCCGAGGCGTTTAGACCCTCGGCTACGTCGTGAGACGTATCAGCCTGCACTGTCTCGTCGCCTTCTTCTGTCGTGGCGCTGTCATCTGCATCATCACGACGTCTATTGAGGTAGAATTTGACAACGGAGTCGTCGCTGAAGTCGTTCATGGATAACTTCTTGATAGCGGGATGCATGGAGAGGTTACTTGAGATGGAACTGATACTGCCCACACTGCTCCGCTTGACTTTTGGTAATTCCATAGCAGCCTCCACGAGCGACTCGAAGACTCCAAGAGGCTTTTCTTCCGGGAGCAGAACCGCAGATGAACCCTCAACCTCTTTGATAGTGAGGTAGTAGTCTGCTCCGTCCTCGCCAGCGGGGAGACGGAAGCGTTGAATAGCTTGACGAACGAGGTCGGCTGAAGTAGTAGATGTATTGAGAAGAACAGTCTTGAAAGTCGCCTCGGTCTGCAAGTATTTGCCTGCAAACACACGGATGACGCTGAGCTCAGGTACGCCAACGCCTTGTCCGTCAGCAGTGGGCGAAAGAACGATGGAGCCTGGTCGTGGTCTAGAGGAGGGCAAGCCCAGCCCAAGCCCAGCGGGAGAGCTAGTAGAAGTACTATACGAACTCGAGTTTGACAACACAGCGGAAGCCGATTGTAACCCGTATGAAGGGGCTTCCGGTGGCGATGACGGCGAACGATTGAGATATTGCTGATACAGTGCCTGTTGTTGCTGATCGCGCTGGCGTAGCTGTGACGCATGCTGCGATACCTGAGCCTGTACTTGTTGTGGCGGTGTCTGAGGCGTCTGCTGTGACTGAAGTCTCGTTGGCGTCCTCGATTCGTTTGACGTGCGAAGAACTTGCTGTTGTTGTTGCATGGCTGATGCAGTGACAGGAGACATTGGAGCTTCAGGTGCGGGTCCGTGAAGGTTGCTGGAGGACCGCCCTGATTCTTGAGACTCGCGGGTTTCATTGGAAGCGGTCTCGACGGAATTTTTATCTTTCCCTTTATCCTTCTTGCGGCCAAAGAGCCCGAACACGCCTCCTTTCTTTTTCTCCTTTTTCTCCTTTGCTTCATCATCTGTGGTGTCGCGTTGCTCTTTGCGAAGTTTACCAGATGTCTGCACAGGCTTCTGGACTGGGGTGTTCGAGACGGGCTGTAGAGGTTTGTCTTTATTCTTGAGCTTCTTTTTCGAGGCTTCTTCAAGAACTTCAATTTCTTCGCGGGTGCGTTGCCGCTCGATCTCCTGCTTCTGCATGATTGCGCTCGGAAGAAGGGGGCCGCTCGATGCTGGAGCTTGTTTGACTGGCTCATCACGAGCAATTGAAGGCGTCACGGAGAGTTTTCTTGTCTCGGTTACTTCCGCGGGATCAATGCTCTTACTAGATGAGGACGGTGAAGACGAACGGACATCAACAGTGATACGATCGCGTGAAGATTGATGGCGTAAAGCTTGTTGAGCAAGTGCCTGTTGCTCCTCCTGCTGCTGCCTCTGTTCAGTGATTATTATCTCTGGCTGCTGTTGCACCTGGATCTGTGACTGTTGTCTCTCGGGTGTGCCACTAGGTCGCAAAGCATCAGGCGTCACAAGCATCTGTTGCTCTATCCTCTTCTGCGCGTTTTGTGCTTGCATGTCTTCTGCAACGCTATCATCCCAGCTCATACCATCGTCCGGCTCCATCTGCATGCCCATAGAATCCTGCTGCTCGTCACGGTCCGTCTGGCCTTGTCGCTGTCGAACAAGCATTTCTTCTGCAAGGTCTGGGTCTTCTTCTTCATATGCGCCATCATCCCACTCTATGTCCTCTTCTTCTTCCTCTTCCTCATGCCAGACAGCAGGGGGATATCGGTGCACGGACCGTGCAGTTGTAAACGTGACACCTTTGCCCTGCCCAGCACCTGTGGGTGGGAAACCAGGGGTAGGAGAAGGGGAGTGGTGCGAGCCAGCGCGAGAAGAAAGGTTATTCCGCACGTGCTCGACGCCTTCTTGGAGTTCTTGTGGGGTCGCATGTGCAAGCTGAGAATGAAAGTCACGAGTTTGAAATTGTTGGATGATGCGGGACTCACGTCCACATTCCTGTGCTTGTTCAACCTGGCCAGACGCTCAAAGGGCGTCTCGATATTCTCTGCGGGAATATATCCGACGTCCTGTGTCTTGAGCACGCGGACAAGCCACCAATAACTGTTACTGTCGTCCATAAGGAACAAGCTATCGCCTTTTACGACACTGGCTTGACCTTCGACGGTCGCAGCGAAGCTATGCAGCGAGTAGACCAAATCGAAGTCGATAGATTCATTTGGAATAGAAAGTGAAGACGAACGGTCGTCGTCTTCGTCCATATACTCTATATCGCGCTCTTCACCATCAGAATCATCCTCCAGAACGGAATGCTCCTCGTCAGAAGCGCCCGCATAAGCATTGGTTGCATCTGCATGAGCATGCATATGTGCAGATGCTGTGTGGTCGTCGGCCATAATTTGGTCACGAAGGTCGAAAGTGTCCTGACGCTTTGGTGAACGTCGCTGGTGGTCTTGTGTTTGCATGTTGTACGTGATTATTTAACGAAATATTGGCCTGAGAGGATGGTCTATAAGAGTACAATCAAAGAAAGCTGTAAAAACATTGACATGAGA